GACCCAGATTCGTCTATGTTACAGATGAGCAGGATCAGACTAAACTTGAAAGGCGTTGGCGGGCAGGTTTCCCGGTCTCCTTTGCTAGAATACGCAGATAGCCGACCTGCGACTTGTACATAGAGCGCTCATAATTATTTCCAGCTCTTTGATATTTCTTTTTTTTTTTTTTTCGCCCATTAGACGGACGCATCTAAAGATAAATTTTGGTATAGACATTCAATCATTTGTCCTTCGTTGAGAAATCAAGTTTTGTAAGACCGCCAACGCCAGTGAATGCATAATCAGATGCCGAGGCTCAGCTGGACACCTGATTTCTTTTTCGTTTTCTTTCTCGTTTTGTTTCCCTCCAGGTTATTACTCCTCATCCTCCCATGGATCCAACATCTTGGACATGTAAGGACCATCAAGGTAGTACCCGAGACGAGCATAGTAGCTACGCACACCCACACCGGAGATGACGCTGATCTTGCGACTACCGTGCTCCTCGCGCGCAATACGCTCCGCCTCCTCCATCAACAAAGTTCCAAATCCACGGTGCTGGAACTTGCGGGCATCACGTCCGTGAAGCGGCACAGCCGAACCATAGACGTGAAGCTCGCGGACAATACTCGTCTGCTGGCCAGTGAACTCAGGACGGAAGGTGTGCGTCTCACTGCACTTGCGCAGACGAAGCAATCCAATAAGAATATCCTGCTTCGGGTCTTCGTATGCAAGGAAAGTCTCCCATCCGCCATTGGCGGTGTAGTCACGGCGGATCAACTCAATCTGTGATGGACGAATCTTGTTCTTGACTTCGTTGATACCGACTTCTCGCGTGCGGACATCGCGGCAGGTCGTGCCAAAGTCCTTCATACGCGCCAATGCCAGTTCACGCAAGTTGCCGTTCTCCACGCCGGAGGTGACAAGTGGCATGGGGATATCGCGCTGGACTCGGTAGATACGGGTCCATGGGGGAACTAGGGCGAGAATTCGTGCAACAAGGTCAATGAGTGCGTTGGGTGTGTAGTTCTTGTAACGGCCGGTACGCCACAGTTCGTAGAGGCCGGTGCCGCGGATGACAAGAGTGGGATAGAGTTTGAGACCGTCGGTACGGAAGTTGGGGTTCTCGAAGTACTCCTGGAATTGGAACAGATCGCGCTCCATCCCAACGTTCGGCAGGTCGGGCATCATGTGACTGACAACCTTGAACCCGGCATCTTTGGCAAGCTTGAACGTTTCAGCTACTGCTGCTACGGTGTGGCCGCGATTGGTGTCTCGCGCAACGTCCTCGTACAGACTCTGTACACCAACCTCCAACCGCGTGCAACCGTAGCGGAGCATGCTGCTCAGATGTGTATCCAGACAGTAATCTGGCCGAGTTTCGATTGTGATACCCACACACTTCACGTTGCTCATTTCGCCTGCTAGCACGGCCTCGTCAACATTGTCCGTTTGATATCCGCTCAGCGCGTTGTGAAGCTGGGAGATGAAGGTGTCCCGGTAATCTTCGGGCAGCGACATGAAGGTTCCGCCCATAATAATGTATTCCACCTTGTCCACACTGTGACCGAGAGCTTTGATTTGGTCTACACGTCCTCGTGCCTGCTCGAACGGATCATAACGAGCGCGGATCGCTCGCATCGAGGTCGGTTCATATCCAGTATATGACTGAGTGGAGTATTCGAAGTCGGAGTCTGGGCCACCGGGGCAGTAGACACATATGTTACCGGTATACGCGATGTGGGGGCATCGATGAGGTTTGCACATAACCGCCACCACGGCGATACCAGAGGAGGTTCCTATGGACGAGGTTAGCGATAGTCCAACACCCTCAATTGGAGAATTTAAACGTACGGATTGGCTTTGCGATTAACTTTGGTAAGATATATTTCTTGTAGTGCTCAGGCACTGCCGCGATAATGGCCGTCAGTGGCGGCGAGCTGGACAAGCTGTGCTTCTTCGAAAAAGTAGCCCGCAACTTGTTGAGATTGAGATCCTTCTTGGGCTTGGTAGAGTCTCGGTTTGACTCATAATCTTGAATCAGAGCATTTGCAATGTCGGAACAAGCTCGCATGAATCGCTCGTTCTCAGGTACGTTCTTTGCGTTCTTCTTGGCGGCTCTCTTGATTTCCTGCGAGGTCATAGTCATGGTAGCCATGGCGAAGAGAATAATACCGCGCCTAGGCGGGAAATCTTTCAAAATCCAAAAAGCACAAGTTGGTTATACTTAGTGGGGGTGAGGTTGATTAGATCGAAAAATGTGGTCACCGAGGTCTGCGCCCGAAGTCTGATCCGCTTAAGTAAAATAAATTATGCCGAGCGAAAACTCCCGGGTGTGTATCCCGAACACCTTGCCCTTCATCCCCATACTTTTCTTTCTTTCAACTTACGTCTTATACCTCACCTCTCCTTTCATACATACAATCTTGCAGAAATGCAGGCCTTCCGCCGTAACACCCTCTCGGCCCTTCGAAATGTCGGTGCCACCCAGCGTCGGACTCAGGCCACCTCTGCCTATAGCGAGACCTTGAACAACCTTAAGATCAACAAGGACACACGTGTTCTGTTCCAGGGCTTCACTGGAAAGCAGGGAACGTGAGTGGAATTCCCGCGCTCTCATTATCACACAAGCATAATACTGACATTTGAGCTTGACATAGCTTTCACGCAGAGCAGGCAATCGCCTACGGTAAACATTCATCCAACCGCGATCGCATCCAAACAATAGCTTACACAAGACAGGCACAAATGTCGTCGGTGGTACCAACCCCAAGAAGGCTGGCAGCATGCACCTTGACCGTCCCGTTTTCGCCAACGTTAGCGATGCCATGAAGGAGACAGGTGCCACAGCCTCAGCTATCTTCGTTCCGTATGATCACACCTATGCTCTCCAAATATCAGGAAAACAATGCTAACTACAATTAGTCCCTCTCTTGCTGCTGCTGGTATTGAGGAGGCCATCGCCGCTGAAATGGGCCTCGTTGTTTGGTACGTGGCCGACGGAGCTTCCCCTTGTAAACAACTTTATCTGACAGCTTCTCGTTCAACAGCATCACCGAGGGTATCCCTCAGCACGGTACGGATCTATCGAGTACCAATTGAAGCCGCGAACTGATCGATTTATATAGACATGGTCCGCATTACGGACATTCTTAAGACCCAGAACAAGACCCGTCTGATCGGTCCTAACTGCCCTGGTATCATTGCTCCCGTAAGCTACCACTCCAACTTTCTGCAGTCATTCAAGCCTCGTCAATTACTCACGCATCTCGTTCATAGGGTCAATGCAAGATCGGTATCATGCCCGGCTTCATCCACAAGCGCGGTCGTGTCGGCATTGTCTCCCGTTCCGGTACCCTGACCTACGAGGCCGTCAACCAGACCACCCTCGCTGGCCTTGGTCAGTCTCTCGTCGTTGGTATTGGCGGTGACCCCTTCTCCGGCACCAACTTCATTGACTGCCTTAAGGTCTTCCTCGAGGACCCCGAGACCGACGGTATCATCATGATCGGTGAGATTGGTGGTTCCGCTGAGGAGGATGCCGCCGAGTGGTTCAAGGCCAACAACATCCACAACAAGCCTGCTGTTTCTTTCATTGCCGGTATCTCTGCTCCCCCCGGCCGCCGCATGGGTCACGCCGGTGCCATCGTCAGCGGTGGTAAGGGTGGTGCCGATTCCAAGATCGCCGCTCTCACCGATGCTGGTGTCATCGTCGAGCGCAGCCCTGCTTCCCTCGGCAAGACCCTTCTTGCTGAGTTCGTCAAGCGCGACCTTGTCTAAGATCGTCGCTCATTTTCATGCATCGCGTGTCTTGTTGTTCTGGTTTTTAAGCCGGGGATCTGAGGTATATGTGCCATTTTATACATGGGGTTTATGGGCTGCTCCTGTATTCTTTTTTCCTTTGCGATAGAGATCCTTGAAGTAATCATGCTCGTGTAATTATTACTGTCTGCTGTTTTTATAGAGTAGATGGTTGAAATAAGTAAATATATGGGAACCATTCTTTTCAAGTCCGTGAAGCAGGCTTCTTGGACGGTCCCTCCCTCACTATCCACGACTGAATCCTCATACAGACATCCATAGTAAAACAAATGAACTTATAAGCCAGCACGAATTGTACAGAAGAGCAGCCGCCATGCCTCGTCACCGCAGCTAGCTGTCCCAGTTCTCGAATAAAGCGAGATTTGATGTTAGTCCAGTATGAGCCAGGGAAAGGAAGCATCGACTGCAAAACACGCATCCTGTCGCGCGCTGACTCACTGTGCTAAACTCTTTCCTAGACAAGTCCCTCGAGACCTTGTCGATGCGGAATAGCACACACGCACTCGAGCATCCAGATCGATAGCTCAATGTATCTTAGTGACACGAGCTCTAGAGATCAAGGGAAGCATTCATAGCCTTGAACTAAAGTGAACCTAGGGAGACTATAAATAACGAAAGAAGCTATTATACCTACAATAGGGGGGTTGTATTCTTTAGCTTGTTATCGATATTATTTGATGAGTACACCTTTTAATATTTTCTTGTCCTAGTCGGAGAGGGTGAATATAAAATGTCGAAGCAAGAACGGTTCAACGCGAAGGCTATTGATATGTTTGAGATTGTATTCCCCGGGGCCAAGGCTGGTGAAGAGAGAACCGAGTCCGGATACTCAAGGGGGACGCAAAGGGACTTTGATAAAATACATACCATGACTACTTAATACGGTAATATTCAATACAATACAGACCATGTAAGATCTGTAGAGAACAACAATTCCCTAAGAAGATTCGAATGTATGAACTGATTTATCAACATGAAGTAAAATAAATATCCAGTGAGGTACCAAGTAACCGAGAGAGATAGAGATGGAGACACGAGTCTATTCTACAGTAAAATTCTATGAGAGAAAGGTAGACTGCTTTTCCAACATCGTATTAAGCTTCTCAAATTATACCAAATTCCACATGTGATTGTTTTCCCCAAAGAAACCTAGACCATGCTGCTACCCTCTGATACTCAGCCCCGAAGAGGGATCATCAGTCTAGCAAGTTCGGAAGACCACTTTCTATCTTGATAGGGGCTACGTCCCAGCGACTTTTTGGCTTCTCGGGGGCCCCGTTCTGAAAGGTTGATGGCACACACAGCTTACCATTCGAAAGACCCGGGGCTGGCGACGAAGAATTGTCATTCGATAATGTCTCACGCAGACATGCAACCGGAACTTTCAATACCACAATACGGTTCTTCGCTTGAGAGCCCTCTTCCTCGTCCATCCATCTCTTCAGGGTTATATAAGTTCGGCTTCGGCCAAAATTAGCGCGATATTCTCTGACGAATCTCGATTGGTTCCAGTTTTCGTGTAAATGAGCTTTCATCCACGCAGCAGCCACCGATCTCTCTTGATGGTCGGACTTGTGATCGGACCTTCGCGGCCTTCTCCGTGCTTCCGATATATTGATCGATTGCCGCCGTTTATATGCACGGGGACGTAAATTCTCATTCTCAAAGAGCGTATTGCATCCTTCCCGCGGGGGACATCTCGGGTGTGATATGCGCATATCCAGCTCGGGGGCTTTTTGCGAGGACCTAGGGTCCATCGGAACGGCATTCCCAGAGATTGACGATAGATCCTTCAAGTGCATGGGGCTCACTGAGACGGCTTTTTCAACGCCTTCTGGCAGAGAAACATGAGATGTTGACATAATAGCTTCATCTTCTCCTGTTCGAGACATCGAAGACGAAGTTCTCGAGGGCAAAGAATTTAATGGAACAGCCATGTCACCAGCTAGTGCGGCCTTGCCTCCATTATTAGAGTCATTTTTCGTCTGTTGACTGGAACTGTCGTCTCCTGTCCCATTTTCCTCCTCGGGGCCTTTGTTCTCTAGGACCTTGTACTCTGACATTTCGTCCCCTGTCTCATCCTCACTCGAGTCTTCAGATGAACTGTCGAAACTCATGTCGCCGTGGTCTTCGGAAGCCATTTCCGATCCGCTTGACCCATTCAGCGGGCATGATTGTGCCGAACTTGATGCACGGAGTCTCTCTGGGAAAAAAGCGGCCTCAGGCTCATGCGGTGTCAAATACTGTGCCTGGTCACTTGTTGGGGTGGGATAAGTCGTGATAGGATCTCCGAAGGGCTGAAGCTCGCTCAGGCGTATCATCAGTTTTTGTTTCAACTTTTTTAGACTTTTCCTATCTGTTACAGTCAGATTGCTGCTTGCGTCAAGTGTATGAGTAGGTGGGAGTAGTAACATTTTGACTCGTCCTTTTCTTCAGCGGTGACATTATTTAATATCCCCAAAGTGATCTCCGCCTCCATTAGCGAATCTGCGCTGCTTGGCCTCGGACTGGAAATTTGGAGGGCATGGCTTCGGCAAAACTCGACTCTGTCGTGTACTTGTTGATCGAATTTAAGTACTTTCCCCTGAATGGAGCAGTGGTAGGTTCCATCATTTTGTTTCTGGAAATCGCCGTGACGAACAATGTCCAACCAACCAATAGATGGGCTATCTGCGTCTTTATTCCAGGAAGAGGGATCACAGCCCATATTTATGGTCAGCGACCTTTCCAAATCGTAACTCTGTAGCGGCTGTTTCGAGAAATGCTGTGTGAAGGTCTGAGCTGTCTGGAAGACCTCTTCATAAGACCGAATGAAGTCGCGGCGATATGACTGGAGGTCTTCGAATCGTCGTATTGGGATGTCTCTCCGCGACCCCCAGCTAATGAAATACTGAGAGCTATCCATGTTGTTCGTCTCAGGCCCTTTTGAGGTCAGTTCAACTCCTCATACTCGGTGTCTTTCTCATACAATACAGTAATTTGTTCCCTCTGTTGCTCATAGGGGTTTCGAGGGCTCTGGTATTGAAATATGACTTTTCCTCAAAACAGTTTCAAAGCGGATATCTGGGTAAAGAAAATAACGCAAAGGAGAAGGGAAAGTGTTAAATAATAAATCTTAGGGTTTCTCGTATAGCGTGTACGGCGCCGCACTGTTATCGGCACCCTTATACCCTGGTCACTCTGGTAGAGCCTGCATTTCAACAGACACACTAGAGAATCGAAACATCGAGTACGGACATACGACGCCCCGCACTTGTGTGATTGGGTTCAAAGGTCCCGTTGCGGTGTGCCCACCATTACATCCTTGTCATACAGGGGTCGGTTTCCTGGTCCGCACAGGGGTCGGTTTCCTGGTCCGCACAGGGGTCGGTTTTCAGGTCTGCACTTGGGTCGGTTTCCAGGTCCGCACCAGGGTCAGTGTCTAGATCGTAGTTTTGGGGGCTATCTACATTTAGGGGGCTGGGAGCAAATCTCTGCTCCTCCGTATATGCCCCTCGTTCCGTACAAATCCAAGCCAGCGATGTTCTCTGAATTTCTTCTTGAGCACAAGTCTTGACACAGTTTTCCTGACAGAAGTGTGTGTATTCCGTCCTCCGTATGGAGTACGGCTTTGCACTTTCCGCCTCTTGGCTAGATTCATTGGTGTTGTTATCATCTAGATTCTGTACTGCCCTATGATTCAAAATAGCCGTGTTTGACGCAATTATTGTGCCTTATCAACCGTCAGATGTAGCTAATAGAGGCACTTTTTACGTTCAGCTTCATTAACATATCGCGACGGAGGTTGCATGATAGACAGAGATTACTACAACATAGGCTCCAAGCGTGGTATATACTACAGCAGTTGTAGGTCTCTTAGTTGGGACTTCCGGGTGACTCGTGGTTTTATTAGCGCAGTTTTTTCTTTGCACCATGTACTTGGCTAATACTTATTATACTAATGTATTGTACATCCAAGGCTTTTTATTAGCAGTGCAGCTGATGCTTTCCCTTTCGATTTATTAATTTCTCCCTTTTGTTGACTTTCGATGATCATCTTGGGCAAACTTTCACAAGTAATATGCCGGGTATAGGCTAGAAGCCACATGATGGACGGCCTAAGGTCATAGCACCGAATGTATACACTAGTGGCGTCGCGGTCCCTGCAGACCTAGGCTGCCTAACGCACCCAAAATGTACGAATTCTTAATGTGCGACGGTCAACTTGTCACTTGTGTCGACGCAGGGAAGTATTCATGATACCAATCCTAGATCAATAAAGGAAGAGAGCAAAATCGTTAAAAGTCACGATATGACACGTCTTTTTCAAGGGCTATAACTAGCCCAGGTGTAACTCTGATTTGTCGATGAGCAGATGGTACTTTGATAATGCAGTGAATGAGATGAAATTAGGCGAAAAGTAATTCTATAATTATGAAACAGAAGATTTTTTTCTAAAAGGTAGAAGGATCGTACTTTTACTTGGAAAAATACGAAGCTGTCACATCACAGGAATTTGGCGGTTTGATAATGTATGGTACCATACAGTGGTATGAACATGTAAATGACAGTACTGAGAATTTCAACTTGGAACGGACATGCTGACAAATTGTAATGTATCGGGACCTCACCTGCCCGGGGTTGATGAGTGAGCAGAGTGAGTCAAGAGACGAGTGAGTCACCTAAGATAGTAGTATAAAAACTTTTGAAGGGATTCGAATTCACCACTAATAAACATCAATTCAGCATTTGGAGTCCTAAACAAAATGAAATCATTGGAATTTACCCTTCCCACGGCTTTGATACTGATAGACAACCAATCAGGCTTCTGCGATCCAAAGACAATATCTCATTGGGGGGGCACACGATCCAACCCGGGCTATGAAACCAATCTCCAAGCACTTCTCTCTGCATTTCGAGCTGCGAGATATTCCACGCTGCTGGAGGTAATCCACGTTTTTCACTCCTCTACAACTCCGGAGTCTCCGTTCCACCCTTCCAACCCCGAACAGGGTATGCGTCCCCTAGACTTCGCTACCCCTGCCTCAGATGGGTCGGAGCCGGTCTTTTGGAAAAGTGTCAATTCGTCTTTTATTGGGACTGGACTTGAGGCGCATTTGCGTGAAAAGGGGTTCCGTCAGCTTATCATTGCTGGGTTGACGACTGATCATTGTGTTTCAACTACTGTTCGAATGGCGGCTAATCTGGGGGTTGTGGATCGGTATCTTGGAGATGGACCTGTCCGGTTGAGATCGGATGGGACTCATGAGAATGACTTGAAAGTTGACAAGGGGCGTATTGTCCTTGTCGAGGATGCCACGGCTACCTTTGGGAAGGCTGGAATTGACTCGGAGACTATTCAGAAGGTTTCTGTTGCTAGCCTCGATGGCGAGTTTGCAGATGTATTTTCCACAGAGGAGGTCATTAAGGCTCTGAGCAAGATCTAAAGCTAGCGTGATAGTGCTGAATTTAGTGAGACTACTACATCTCTTCCACTCAAGCCCCAACTATTTTCTACTCCGTAAATTTCAATTATTTAGTCTTCTTCTCACTTCAGGCTCTATTTCCTGGATGTCTACAATGTCTACGAGTCACACTACAGAAACCTGGACCGACAGATTGTCTCTCTCATCCCCGTGTACATTGTGCATATGAACAAAATAAAAAATATCAAACAGAACTGTGTGGCGGGTTGCCACTACATATAAACATAGTTGCCTTTGTCGTGGACAAGGATAGATCAGGTCCCAGGGCGCCTCTGGGTCCCAGCCCCCTTGCCTTTAGACTCGGGTCAACTCTCGCAACTCCCCCAAACCCCTCATCTTCTCATCCAACCGCCTCGTCCCTCTACTCCTCCTCGAATTCCCACTCACAGTCACTGAGGTCGTGGCTCACCTCAGTGCTGTCACCCTCCGTGTCTGATTTCCCCCCCATGTCACTCAGACACTCATCCTCGCTCTCCTCCTTAAATCGGAGCTCCCACTTCTCCCACTCATCCCACTCATCCTCTTCATCGTCCTCGATCGTTGGAAGAGGGATGGGTTTTGAGGTGTCCCCATCAGTGAGGGGCCATGCCCATTGGAGAAGGCCATCCATTTTGTCGGCATAGTCCTCCGCGTCGAAGTTGAGTGCTGGGGTATAGGCCACTTTGAGCCGGCCATTGTCGAAATACCCATGCAAAACTCGAACTCGAGCATCGGGGAGAAATGAGATGACCATTGTCTACATAGATGTCAGTCAGTCATACATTGTCTATCATTTGATGGAGCGTCTAGACTCACCGGGAAGTCAAGTTGGGGCCGCTCATGTCGGTGGTACTTGCCGATTTGGTGCTTGTGGTTCTGGATTCCACTAAGCATCCATCGAACAAGTACTATGAGCTCTCCAACTGAGGGGAAAGTGTCATGATAGCATTCTTCGCTTGTCATGACGGCGAGTTGATGAGCGCCCTTTCCATCAGCATTTACGGCTCCCCTTTGAACGGTGAAGCCGTACTTGTCGTTGCTGTTGAAGAGACTTTTGTCTTCTTCCATGCTATATTCGTCAACGGTTAGTCTCAATCTGCTTTCTATCTATTCCTAGGGATGTAGACTTACGGGATCAGGTCCCAGTAAATGGGGGTGTTACTGCCCCTCTGAGATTTGCGGAGGTACTTCGAAAATGCCTTATAGAGTTGATAGTGCATCTCTTGGGGGACGAAGTCTTGATTTGTCTTCATCGCCCGAACCCACGTGAACGGGTCGTCCACGGGGTCCTCGGGGTCGAGAGCACTATTGGCGATTTTGAAGGTGGTGTCGGTGTCGGGTGTGAAGAATTGGATGAGGGAACGATCGGTATTCCCCGTCCAGAAATCCATCGGGTGGATGTCAATGTTGGAAGCCTGATTTGGGATATAATCAGGCTCCATGTGGAGGAGCTCTTTGTGGAGCTGCCGAAGGCTCTTCTTCTTCTCTTTGAAGAGCCAAACCCAGAGTGGAATACGACACATCGTGAAACCACCTGGGGATGAATGATGAAGAAAGAAGAAAATAAAAAGGAAGTGCAGAGAACGGGGGCCCTTTTATGTTCTCCCTTGGTCAAATCCTGGTCTGCCTCCGACATCCAAGACTATATCAACTATGCCTAAATAAGATACGGGCCAGGTTAGACCCATGGGTTCATCGCGTATCTCAACATAGAAAGCTTATTCTTCGGTGCTGGACTGCTTCGGACGCCATATTGGGTAGCGGATAGCTTCTGCTTAGATGTGTACCAATTCAACAATATATAGTTATAAATCGGAACACAGATACCATGGTATAGGAAACCCTATATTCTCCGAATTCCTTTGCAGTATCTAAAGTTACATGACCATTGATAGATAGTTGATCAGAGAAAGATCAGAACAAGATGAGGCTTTAGTGAAGTAACGTGTATTTCATAGTAAGAAGGAAGTGAAACTAATTTGAATGCCAAATGCCACGCAAGTAGTTGTGTGGTAGAAGCAAGGAAGGAAACAGTTTATCTAGAAATTGGAATATATTGAGGCGTGACGGAAAATCATGCAGCGCGTAACAGAACCCAAGGTTCCTGTTCAAGGCCTAGATGGGCCATATCCCATTCTTGACAAGGCGGAAACCATGTAGGCATAAGCGCAGGCGGTTTGCTCTAGGATTTTGACTGGCTAATCGCAATATATGACCAAATGATTGAGCCTATAACTCACCGGCTCTTCATTTTAGCGGCTGTTGAATCCAGAACGCAGACTGCAATGGCCTTTTTCTACTAAACCATTTTGAGCGTGATAGTTTTAGACACACCATGAGTTGGAGGTCCGGGCCGCAACCATTTTAAGTAATTTTGACTACGGGCGTGTGCGCTGGCTAAATGTTTCGTAGCTGCTCGTCTTGAAATCATTCATTTCGATAACTAATATACGCCATGAATCCTGCCGAAGACAAATCCGCGCCTCAAAATCCCGGCTTTGCCCAACTGGGAATATTCGTAAAGCTCCCGCTTGAACTTCATTTGACGATAGGGAAATATGTCTTGGGTGAAATACATCCAGCCTCTTTCGCTTTCGCTTTGGCTGTTCTACGTTGCAGTTGATATGTCTATCAAAAGATAGCAGATCGGCTTTTCAGGGACTTTAAACATGAGTTTCGAGTTGCGGGTAGTGGATTGAGTTTCAACTTCACTGTCAAACAAACGCGCAGCCATTCAAGCCGTTCACAGGCCATCTTCACACTTTTCCTTGGGGGCGAGGGATAGAATTTGGGCCTCTATCTTGTAAGCTGGCCTCGGTCTGTATAGCGCGTCGTGGGAGGCAATAAGCGGGCTTCTACGCGCCTTCGGCATTCCATTTAGGCCATGCCGCCATTCATGCGTACAACCTACCCTGTAAAATAACGAGGTCTCCACAATCTCTTCGAGTGTACCTAAGCGTCCCCGCGGGCTCAGATTCTTCATGGCATTCAGCACGGGTTCTGGCTTGCCTGGTGTGAAAAGCTCAGTATCAGTCGGACCTGGGGCGACGGCGTTGATGGTGATATCCTTGGGGCCGAGGTCCTTAGCGAGAACGTGGACCATCTGCTTGACAGGGCCCTTAGAGGTTAAGTAAATGAGATAGGGATGGCCAATTGTGGAAGCGTGACAGAGAGTTGAGGAAAGAAGAAAGATTCGGGCGCTGGGGCGGAGGTGAGGGAGTGTCTTCTACAATCATCAACCTTCAGTTTGGAGGACGTGGGTGATATGGGTAAACAATCTGAGATCGGATGGCACAATGAAGTTCTCGGTAACATACGCTTTTTGAATGGGCCGGTATCTTCCTAGGCTCGGGCATCTGCGCTTCTAGTGCTTCCTAGTCTAAAATATAAATTGAAACTTGTTAGAATAGCACAATAGACCAATGTTGTATATTAGTGGCTGTGGCTATTCGTGGATACGTATTGTAGTTAACATATAGCAAGCACTAACAATAGAAGAGTGGCCAGGTTACATCTCCACGATCTAAAGTGTGATCGACCATAAAGCTACGGAGTAGTGATAGCATCAAAGGGGTCAGGGTCACTAGGAAACATCTACTCGAACCAGATTATCATCGCCAGTGATGCAGAAAGCGCTCCACATCCTGCATAACTAACTGCAACGGTCTGCGAGACCTGTCCTGGTTCTGGCAGACAGTTCTTTGACGAAGCTGGCTGCGAGATAGGTGCTTGGATAATGTCTGCTGTCTTCCATTCTTGAGGTATCGAATTTGGTACATTCGACAGTGACTTTCGCGTCCAAGTCGCGATGATATGTTGCCACTCGGGCATGGGAGGCCTCCAAATGTCTAAATTGCGGAAATCAGGGTCTCTAAAGACCAACAAAGCATTATTGACGGAAGCGAATTTCAGCACCCATTCTAGACAATCGGAAGTATAAATTCCCGGCCCCAGCTCATTGTCCAAGGAACTATTGTGAATGACCGGGGTGAAAAAAGCCATCATCGCAGCTAAAGCTGCCCGAGTAGACACTCGGTACAAAAATGAGCCTCCGCCGAGTTTACTTAAATAGTCTTTCCTAATCTTCGTGGCTAGGCGATCCTTGTTATTATCCCCTTTGACTCGAATTGCGGAAATTTCCTGCGGCAGACGTTGGGGTCTGTTGGCAGGAAACAGCTCCTCCAATCTATGACAGGCGTATTGGTATCCAACCTGAAGTGGGATGGGATCAGGCCGGACTGGCATAACAACAACAGGCGGCTGATTGTATCCAAAGAAATACCGATCGTACATCGATGCTGGAAGTTTGTCCTCTTCGAACAGATGCTCCAAGATCCATCGTACACCGACATTTGTTGGGATGAGTCGCACCTCATCTTCGAGGGCAATCGCTGGGTCGTTAATTGCATCGACCAGCTCATCAAGGCCTGCGAGCCAAAAAATGCTACTCAATGGGCCGATCAGTTCATCAAATCCTAAAGTCAGATCAGCAAAATATCCTCTAGCTTTCGCCAAAATAGATATAGGTCTGCGTACGATAGCTATTGCTGTCAATGTACTCTCCGATATCCTCGGGGATCGTTCCCGGGTATCCATGCTCTCTTGACCATACCGGGCGGAATCCTGCTTCCGCCAACTGACCCATTGTCCGAGCGAGTTTATTCCGATTGTCGGAGGCCATATTCTCTTGGATAATGGGAGTTGTAAAGGGGGGTGTTCCTGGCACTATGCTGGCTGATGAGGAAGTTGAGTATGTGAGAGATGGGATGGACGAAATCGAAGGTATAGAATCAGTCGGACTGATTGATGTGGCTGGGCTGCTTGCCGCAGCTGGAAACGGAAAGCTTTCCCTTGGGTCCATGACTTGATCAATGAATTAAATTAGATCGCAAGGAGTTGAATTGGATTGCCCGAATTCCATTCTAATATTCCTGGATATATGCATAGCTTCGCTCTTACCAAAAGCAATGGCACCTGCCAGTATATCCGCATCTTGGTATTGAGTACAAATATAAGAAGCGAGGGTCAGGAAACTACATTTGTAGTGTTTCCCTACCGAAAAAGGAGTCGGATCTTAACACCTTAACATGGTATCATGGTCCATGGATCCCCCCCGGCTTACGCCTGACAGACCGAAGTCTGACCCATACCTCCGGTGGGTCAGCACTCCCTCTCCCTCTATAGACGATGTATGCCCCGACGGGTTATTTTCTAGCTGTAGAAGGGAGTCGATGACCTCGAATCTACTGTTCTTGCTTCCAGAAGACAACTTCTGATGAAGGCCTACGAAATTCTAACAGGAAAATAGATTCCACTAATTCTACAAGAATGATACTGAAGTCCCTAATACTATTCAGGCAAAAGGATAGTTAAACGAGGATACGGAGAGGTCCTTATTAGGGTAGGTCTTCAAGACGGATCGACGTATACTTCCCTTACAACTAGTTTCTATAGTCCTAAAGGATACAGAAAGCTCTTTGGTATAACTAAGCTCCTTAAGGAGTAGGATATCCTACGAGATACGTCCGAAGCGACTTATAAACGGCGAAGGAAAAGTAGTCGGATTCGTAGATACTTCCTCGGGAGTGCTATACCTCGTCGGTCCCTCGGAGGAGAACGCTAGAAAATTGTAGTCCTTAATTTTTTCGCTAGAGAATCGTAGTCTCTGCTTTCTACTAGAAAATTGTGGTCTCTGTTTTCCGCCAGAGTTCCCTACTGGTCGGGTGGCTGGTAAGACAGTCACCTAGTAGGTCTAGATCCGATAAGTAGATAGATAGTCTCGTCCCACGTCCCTTTTCTCCCCTCGCTATCTATCCTATTTCTACTTGAAATTTACAATTATCATACTAGCTACCTAGCTATTTCTAGCGGGGAGCAGAGACCACGATTCTCTAGAAATAGGGACTACGATTCTCTAGTACAAATACCTCGGGTGCCTAGGTAACCTATGGGTACATATGCCCGCCTACATTCACGTCTCGGCAAGGTATATTATATTCAATGAAAAATATTCTAGATAACTGCTTTGTGAATACAGAAAATCAGGAACCCAAAACATATCTATCTATCGGGCAGAAGATCCCAAAGCCAACGCCTTCTATTCATTCTTTTTTGAGGACGTTTTGGGGATCTTCCGCGTCCGACGACGTAGCATCTCCACTCGTTCCTCCATAGTCCAGTTGACTTGATCACCAATGGGGATCAGACATTTAGCGAGGTAGTCGTAGTTCTTCCGGAGTAGGTTCACAGTGATAAAAATATAATCGACATTTCGGAAGACCAGAGCGTCTTCCTTCGCATAGCGGTCCTTCTGCTTGAGGAAAGCGACAGGGTGATCTCTCCAGTGACGGCGCGGGTTCAAGTGGTGAGAAGTGTGGTAGCCATCATTGAAAGAGAATCGGTTACTCTGATATTTGTCAGTCTTGATTCGACGTGTTCAGCAGGCCAATGGAAACTCACCGGAACATCAATCAGTGTGATACTGGACAGGTAGTCCGAATTAGGGTCGGCTGGATCCACGAAAGCATGCTGGCCCCAGTTGCCGACCATCAAGCCCAAGCGCATAACGGTGAGCGGAAGAATGAACACGAACGTGGTAGCACGGGCATTGACGTAGTTGTAAAGCATATAAATGGCAACGTAGCTGCCCACCTCCCAGAAGGCGCATTTGACTGCATACTTGAACTGCCCCTTTCTCCAAAAGTACATTGGGAGTTCCAGCCAGATGAAAAATATGAACCGGCCGACATAGGTCAGGAAGTCCGGGATGCTGTCGCGGTTGTAGTACATGGTTGAGCTCAGGTCGTCTCCGCCGTTACCCTCAACGTGATGGTGTTTGATATGGTGGTAGTAGTAAGAGTTCCACGTATGTCCGTGCATGGGGTCCAGCAGGTACGGGAAAAGCGTGTCGAACAGATATAATTTTGGGGTCAGGACTCCATTCATGTGGATGTGCTGGTGCTTCATCAGCGTGAAAGCACCGCAATAAAACCCCATAATGAGCCAGTGCAAGGCGCCGTGGAGGTACGAGAATCGGTAATATAGGAATGCAGCACTTGGCACAATAGTGGTGAAGTAAAGTATAAGGTGCGTTACCATGACCACGTCGGTCTCGTATCGCACGATCCCTTTCGCCCAGTTGATGTATGGCGTGAGCACATACTTCTGAAAGGAAGCGGGTAGCTTGGCCCTCAGCAGCGGGGTATCCCAGAATTGGGAGACGGTGGGATCAAATTCTACATGAGAGGGATCATTGAGATTTTGAAGCTTTTGGACTGTTTCTTCGGTGCTCAGCTTGTCCAATGGCGGTGCATCTTTTTGGCCTGGACCTTTGTTAGTTTGTTATTTGACCGACAATACAGGGGTATTACCATCTGAGCTGGGTTGAGGCTCAACAATAGCAGCAATCACCAGTCGATCTTGGTAGGTGAGCTGGGGATCTGTGTATGTAGAGGGATCCATGATGCCTTAGTACGGCAAAGCCTAGTCTTTATGTTAATCCTGTTAAATATAACTCAACGGAAGGGCACTAACCCGTGTCCAAGCAGCTGATTGAAACAAGCTTCTAGAATAATTTCCGGGATCTCCGGGTTTATAAAGACAATCGAGGCCTAGCAATACGCTGTCCTCCTAATAAAGACAACGCGTCAGGGGCGCGAAGAGATTTCGGGAGTCGACTGTGGGTCCTGGAATCGACAAGCTATGCGAAGTGTCCAAACAACAGTTTGAATGTTTCTAACACTTGATCTAGTATTTTCAAATACAGCTCAAGCTTTCCATCGCCATCCGAGAGTAGTTGGAGATCTCGCTGTCGATCAATCATGATTTTGTGCTGCTCCGTCACATTCCATCCGATTCAGGGGGCTCATGGTCGGAAACGTTTTCCCCTGAACATCCCACCGACTTAATTAGTGGCGAAAAGCACAACGAATGTACGATTCTTGATTTAATATACGTTGTATGCATGTGGAATAGTAGCTTGGATTTACAGGAAGTATTCCTAAGTTCTAGTCTAGTGAATGAGATCATTACGGCAATTTACTTTTCTGGGGTAGCCCCAAGAGGAAGATCACCACTAAAAGAGCAGTTAGCTCACCTAGGCATGACAAGTTGGAGGACTAAAAACAGAGGTGACTTTCTTCTCATTTACTTTTCTATGCTAGAGGACTTCAAGGACCCTGGTATACAATGCCTTGTCTAGGCCGAGGCCAATGCACTGTAGAGGTTGACCCGAGAACCTGACCGGCTCTATTCAGAGCACTGACAAAGAAATACCGGCCAGTCCGGTTGGTAGGAACAGATATCTCAGTCTCAAAGCCGTCTTTAGGAAATTTCCCCAAGAAAGTGGATGCTCCCCCACCACCCTCAATATCGGTTCCATCCAAAGACCACGTAGCCACTTCCGTGGCTCCATTCCAACTCACATACACTCGTCCATCATCCACGGCAATCTCAGGCACGGTCTGAGGATGACCGATCCAGGGGCTCTTCGAGATCCGATAAGTACGGATTTCTCCGCTGTTAAAGAATGTTTCGGGGCCTATATGGACATTGCAGAGCAAAGATCCGTTCGAGGCATATTCAGCCCAGTTTGCGTTGGGTCCAAAGCCTAGGATGACATTGCCGCTATCCAAGATCTGCATTGACCCACTGTTCTCGGTGAGGACACTGTTCGGGCTGATGTATTCATGCTGCAACTGCACAGTCATCTTCTCTGTGTCCAGGACCACCGTCAAACCCCGGGTTGAACCTGTCACGGGACGGCCAGGGCAGTTCCCGTTGTCGAAAATTGAAACAATCCGACCATTTTCGTGGAACCGGGCATGGTGCTGACCGTTGAAGTCTGTCGCTGCGCCACCGGATAGGTCTTTGAACATATTTGCTTTCCCTCCTAGCTTCCAGATCACGGCGCCTGTTTGACCATCTACATAGACAACGGAGCTCATCATTCGACAGGAAATGAGGTAATTGCCGAGATCGTCTTTCTCGATGCTGTTGACATGGAACAGATCCGGCGCGGTCTTTTCGGTTTTGCCATCGCCCGGCTGGAAATGATAGTACTCTTCAAATCTATAATGGTCCGAAGCTCGCCACTCAAATAGAACTTCTCCTGTCTGGACTTCGATCTCCTGGAACCCTGCATCGAAAATGAATTCAACTTCCGGTGGTGCCTCGAATGCCGTTTGGTTCACCGGAAAGACACCATTGATAACTAGAAGTGCCGTCCCTGAAGGAGTCAGGGTTAACTCGTGCGCATCAAGCTGCCACCCATTGCCTGAACGGATCTGATAAGCTTCCTCATAGCGGGAGTTTATCTAAAGGACATTAGAATATTTCCTGATGTAATGCCGCCAATCGGCAACTTACCAACGCATAATAGGTTGAGTCTTCAGAAAGCGAGACAACATAGTCCTCTCCTTGGAAGGACTGTATGTCTGCGGTGACATACCCAGTCGTGTGCCAAACGAGATACCCTTTTGTATCAAGGAGCATCACTCCTGGGATGTTCACCTGCTTTCCCCAGTAGGGCACGACGGTGTAAATGCTCTCATTGTAACACAGGGAACTTTTGTCGTGAATGTTCAGGATAGGTCCAATAGCATTGGATGAGTGGTACAGCTGGTGAGGCCATCGGTCAAACGCGCCAAGGTCATATGGTCGCGATCGATACAGCGGGGGAATATCAGCCAATGACTCGCATATCACCAAGAGCAACGCCACGGGTTTTAAAAACATGATTGGACATCTCATAATATCGTGGGTTAAATCGAGACATGGCAGCCGTATGGGATATGGCTTTTAGCCGATGTCGGGGGACGATCCCAACCTCCGCTGCAGCGCCAAGCAGATGTGCGCGGGTGAAACCTTAGGGAAGTCTTGGTGCTTTTGTTTTGGTGGAGCACCTGCGCATCGGATTGCTTGTGAGACTAGGACCTGCTTGTAGGCTTGTGGTATGCTAGATTGCCTTCTTGTACTCCGTAGAGGTTATAAAATACATATTAGCAAGGCACACGCTCCTCGGCGTTTCGAAAGATACCCCATGATTGACATGATATGAGTCGGTTCGTGATGAGAGCTGTTTATTTATAGTCAGGGGTTGCATCTGAACTCGGAGACTCGGCATATTGCCTCAGGCTTGCAATAAATAAGCATAACATTGGCAAGTGGAACGAGTTCATTAATCTGTAAACGGTGATATTACTTCGAGTCACTATAATATTAGGATTTACAGAAGCAACTTTGAAATACAAGATGCGGCGAAGTTGTACTTTTACACAAAGAACATGCGGCTCGGATAATATCTCCATCAATTTGAAGCTATCGGAAGCTGACGGTAAATCCCACCTCTTCTCTCAGGGCATGATCTTCTATGGTCATATGATATGTTGGAAAAGGCGTTCCTTTGCTTAGAAAATTTTCAGCGAATCGACGTCCAGAAAGACGAAGTAGGTCTCAGCCATCAAGAGGCGATGTTGCAACTGACATCCAAAGACAATATCCTGAGAATATCTTGATTATATCCTGATTATTCTCATAGATGCCCAAAGCCGAAGAAAAATGTCTCACTTCCCCTCTGCCAATTCTCTAGCTCCTCGTAGTTCCTCGCGACCCCAGGCCACTAAGGCTGGATGCAGTAAGATTTTCGCCACCTTGGCACATCAATGGTACAGACCCAATTTTAGTAGTTCTTTGACATCATGACCTCCAGCGACAATTGCAATATCTGTTGGTGTTGAGGTTAATGGTGTTGTTAGTGAATGTTTCTTTCTCCGGGACATTCGGAATGTAAACCTCCGACAGGGGGATGTATACAGACATGGAGATCGCTCTTAATTTAGAAGAACAAGTAATCAGGATATCTTCTGCAAAGACACGCTATGATGCGTATCTCCACAGTTCGAAAACCATCAAAAAACAATCCGTGCACATAAAGATCGCTACTTTCCCTCCTGAACGTCATTTTTTCACATCCAACTCAGAATAAATACCAGCCACCTACCCCCTACCTTCAACTCCCAACCTCTTAAACCACCCTCTTAAACCACATCTTTCTCCCATAACCATAAATCATCACATCAAAGCCTAAGATGAAGTTCCTCACATGCCTTCTTATGCTGGCTACCTCTGCCATCGCAGCTCCTATCACCAACACCACCAAGGTGTCGAAGCAGTTCCACCTTAAGTCCAGCGGTGCCACCAACGCGAATCACAACAACCTATATGTCTACTCCTACCACACGGGCGCCGGTCTCAGCGACGCCGTGCTCACCAGTGATGTTAGCATAGCCAGTCCTATCTACCTGAATGGGACGAACGCGGTCGTTGATCTGAAGACTGAATTTTCCTGGGGACTAATCGCCACCGGCGACACCAACTATGCCTGTGAGTATCGCCACATACTTTGGAAATTTCTTCGTGTCACATTTCAGCCTGGACTAAGCTAATATTTTCTTTCACTTAGCTTGGGAACCTATCGTTATCAACGCTGGCAGTGGCGGCAGCGCAGGCTACTCCATCAAGGGCGATGCCTTCCAATGGTCGGAAAACAACGGCTTCGGTGGCTGGCTTGGTAAGAAATCCCTGCGCCTTTATTCGTTGGCCTCTTTAAGACCATGGTATTAACATCTCTGTAATAGTCTGCGATTGGTACCACAATGCGCCCCAGTTGTTCTACTTGAACCGTTACTATACTGCCACCATTCCCTCCAGCTGCTCCAAGGTCCAGTTGACGACTGAGTATATCTAGATACCCCACGGTCGCTTGGGGTGATTTGGGCCCCTTTTAGGCACTTAATGATCGACGGTTAGGAGTCCGGTACTCCTGATTTTTACTAGTTAATAGCGATTTCAGCGAATAATGAATATGAGATGCTTGTCTTTTCGCTATGTACATTCTGCTAGTTCAAACCGGGATATCAAAAATAAAAAATAAACTAGCAGCTGATCAACTGCGTAACATCATGTTTTAACGTAAAGCGTTTCCCGTTTCTTTCCTCGCTGTGCCCGGTCATGAAGCTGCAATTCCTGCGATGGGGACACACGAGTTCTCGTAGTACCGCTTGTCCATTCCAGCCTGCAAGCGCGCTTCTTCGTTAAATGGTCCCCGGATCGGTCCCTTGAAATGCTTCTGCACATTCGACCGGAAGACCTGAACAGGATCAGTCCCCTCCTGGGCACATATCCACGTCAACCACCGATGACCAGTGGTAACATGTGTGATTTCATCGTTGTGGATAACCTCCAGGGTCGCCACGCTCTCGCCGTCGCCAGCTTTGCGGAACTTCTCAATCGTCATGGGGTTGACATCCAGACCTCGTGCTTCGTGCACCAGGGCGATAATACTGATTCTCGCTCGGAGATCGTATGCGGTTTCAGTTGCCGATAGCCACAAACTGTGGTGTACCGGGAGCGAACCGAAACTAGATCCCATTTCTTCGAGCCTAGTGCGGAGCAGAGAGAAGTGCTTGGCCTCGTCGCTCGCGACCTTCAGCCAGTCGTAGAAAAATGCCCGCGGGAGTTCCTGGGACGTCCCTTTTGTTTGGAATGTCGCAAAGCGGATGCAGATATCAATAGCCAGATCGATAGCCCACAGTTCGATATTAGCCAGCGCATGGAGCATAGCAATACGGCTCTTCAAGGTCCCGCCTCGTCCCGCCTTCGGCATGTGGCCCGGATCAACCGTTTGCATTTTCTCGCGCGGTGGCTGGTCAGGCGGGGCCACAGTGCCCCTTCCAAGCGGCATGGGTGAATCAGAAACCTCCCTAGTCGTGAAAATAGAGAAAAGATGCGTAGCCAGCTCGATCTTGTGCTCTGGATTGGCGGTGTTGAGAACGTGGGCAGCCCAGTCACACAGCGTCGCGTTGTCGCCGAGATAAGTCGCCATACCGAGATCATCTGGACTCGCAGGAAGAGAAACAGTAGTAGTAGTAATAGCAGCTGCCTTCTCCGCAGGCTGCGGGTGCTTGAGCTGCACTTTCTCACTCACAGGATCGACACTAGCAAGTCCGACGCTGACCCCATCCTCAGCGGGGAAATCCAGCGCGACGAACTCGCCGCGCACATCCACCGGGAACGTGCAGGCCTTGATACCAACGCTCGATTCACCGGTCTCTACATTGAAATCGTATGCGTGCCACGGGCACGACACGACATATGCCGAGTCCTCAATGTCAACCGAGGAATCGGCCATTGGGCCGCCAGCATGTGGGCATTCTGCCTCCATGGCGTAATACGACCAGCCGTCATTGGTCTCGTTGGATTTCAGGCTTGATTTGTCGATCGTCGGGAGCCGGAATAAGACAAGTTTCTTGCCTGTGGTCAGGCGAACCACGTACCGCGCCTGTGTGAAGTCGGATAGTTTCCCGCAGTTGATCCACATTTTGATTTTGGCAAGCGTCGCTTGTAGCCTGTTTGCGTGATTGGATGGGTTTGTGAGGCTTTTCGCTTCGATTGACTTAAATTATCACGTGACGATGTCTATGGTCCCACCTCCTCGGCGCGCATCAATATATCTTGTTGTAGGCCAATTATAGGGGCACCTAGCTAGGTACGCTATATAACTAGATTATGTTACAGTGTACCCGTCTAATTCTAAAGATCATCCATCATCAATCTTGTGTAAATAATAATGTAAAGTACGTAAAATATGTAATTAATATGTCATGGATACGGTAAATTGGCATGGTAATTACTAGTATTCCTGGTACATATAACGTACTGTAAAAAAAGGCTGTACATATTTAATTAGCAATAGTTATAACTAGCCAGGGTATAAAGTACTAAACACCTGCATCAATTCCAACTAAAATAAAAAAGATGTTGATAAAAACTAACCATAGTAAAAATCTAGTTTGTGAAAACTCTGCATAGGTGTCGAATATGTACGGTTGGGTTCTCGACAACGTCATAATATTTATGCAACTAATGATTGAGCCATTATTCGTCTTCTTGTCGGTTTGCCTGATTCCCCTTTCTTTCCAGTCCAAAAATCTGACTTATTGATAAACCAATCATAACATACAGCTGGGGCAAGATTACTGAATACTAAAAAGATTGCTAGAAAATAGTTAAATAGCGGTGAAAACATCCTTGTTAGATACGTAGGCTCGGGATCCAGTCTTACTATGCACGAGAAAGTACCAGCTATCACCATGACTGTTGGCGTTTACAGCAATTCCTTCAGAGGTCAATGACTCTCCACAAATACATAGCCCATCACAATGTGATGGAGCGGCAGATTGCAGCGGATTTTAGACGCCTGGTTCCCAAAAAATGTGGGCCTCGCTTGTCTCAATTAATAGTCCGTAACTTTCCTGCTGTCGCAGATTTTTCCCTTTAGCAGGACTATTTCCTTATAATATTTAGGCTATTGAAAGCCGTCTTGCACTTATATAAATTTGGAGCGACTTGACTTAGGTAGAGTGTGAAGTTGAAAAATACGTGGTTTCTGACTGGTATTCATCACGTCTGTGACGACTTCCCAACCAACACCAACACTTGAGCACATTCTGCGACAGGGGGGTTGAATAGGTCTAGGACAAATAATACCTAGTGCTCACTCTTTTATTTCTCTTGTCTTTCTTTGACTTCTCATCTTTCCACTTTCAACTCACGTTTCAATCCCCAGAGCAGTGACGATTTTTACTCCTTAGGTGAGACACTCGCTAACTAACTCTAAATGTTTTACGATAGACTAACATTGTCCACAGAACACTATCTGAAGATGAATACTGGTCCCAACCATCCGATCAAATGGGGAACGTGTCGAGAAGGCGTCCTGTCCCAGCTGCAACGATTTGAGTCCCTGCCCCAGGATGGCCTCAAGTTAATGGAGTCTTATCAGGCTGTCCTTGATAACGATGAGACTTTCACCCAATATTTCTCAGACAAGCCACTTGAAAGTTACACTATCGAAACACGTCTAAGGGAAACATTGGGGATTCGTCCTCCTAGGCAGAATAATCCCTCAATCAGCTGGGTCAACATTTTCCGACATGGCAGTTTCGAAAAGCAAAGTGATGGCTCCTACTACTGTTATGATGAAGGAAAGCTCGTGGAAATTGACAAGTCCCTTCACAAATGCATCCTACTCAACCGATGCTTCCTCCCGACCAACTCGTACCTGTGGCCAAGTCCTGCCGACGCTGAACGAGAAGCTGAAGTCACTTTGGCAATCGAGGCAGATATCCTGGACGAAATCGACAAAAAGATCAAGTGTGCGTACTTCCCAGACTTTTTGACAAAGCTGGTAAGAGACAGACTAATGAAAACAGACGTGGAGAAATTGAAGCGACTTCAGCTGGCTCTGAAGAAACGCCGAAATAAGCTCCAGGGCATTCGAGTCCCCGTGAAAAGGTCTCGTACGCCGCAAACCCCTGTACAGTACCCTACACCAAACGAGTCACGTCGTCCCACGGTCTCCGTTGAGACACGCGATGCCCGTGCACGCAGTTCATCCGAGAGCTCGGGTATCTCAAGTGGATCCGACATCCCTTTCGCCGTCTCCGGTGATAACTCAAGGCCACTATCGTATGACAGAGATGATGCGGCTGGCAGCTCAGGCCAAGAGCATTCGAATCTCATCGATCTTGCCGAAGGCAACCAGAACCCACACGATAATAAGATGGGAGTGTCGGTGGCTAGACGTCGCAGCAACAGAAATCCTGAGGTCGCACCAATCCAGCATGACAAACAGAAGTCTAAGCAATCCCAAGGAGATGAGTCGCCTAAACACCAGCTCGATGACACACAGAAGTCTAAGCAATCCCAAGGAGATGAATCGCCTAAACACCAGCTCGATGACAACGAGGACCTGGTGCAACCACCTCCAAAAAAGCAAAAGTTCGAGACTGAGCCGCTCCCAACAGATATCGTCCAAACGGATATCATTCCAACAGACATCGTCCCAACAGACATTGTGCCAACAGATATCGAGACTATCGACCTTAGTGAAGAATTGCCAATGTGGAAAGGAAAGGTCGATACGCCCACTAAACCGCAGCCCAAATCTTCCACCGGGAAGCGCATAGGACAGAAGCGAACACGGAATAACTTCACCGACTACGAGAAGAAGCACGCCCCAGCCTGGTTCAAGAGCCAGATAGACGCAGGAAGGCTCCCGGCCGATGTTGAGAAGGCCTATGCCGAAAAGTTTGGTGTCTTCCACCGCTTCCTCACAGTGAAGCTTTGGGTCGACCGAATGGAGGAAAGGGCCAGTAGAGCACAGCCCCCGAGCAAAATCGTGGTATTGAAAGTACAACTCCCGTTGCAGCTTCATATGGCCTTCTTGAATGACAATTCCTCCTAGCCGATCCGGAAGTTCCCAACGAGCCGGGCAATGTCACCGGCAGCTGTCTCCAGTACTAGTTTTCCCCCCGCGCCGCCCTATGTATCTCCATATCCCTTATTCCGCCCTAATGGGCTGCCGGGCTCATCCGTCGCGTACCAGCTGGACTGGCCCTCCAAACTGGCTGGATTACCCTCAACTAAGAGTGGCCTTCCGAATGTGTACTGATAATGACCTGGATGTCGGTTATTGCAGGTCCTCTTTCATGATATGACTTTCATTTCCAAGGCCCAAGAAGCTCGCTCACGGTATGTTCCATCATTTGAGTATGTTCCATCATTTGACAGCATCGTGAACATCTTACTAATCTACCTTCCTACAGAATTCTCGTTGAGCGTGAAATTTATTTTCCGTTTGTGGTGTGGATTCTTCGTGCAGCTGGTTTACACTTATTTTCATATCGCCTACTTCATATGCTACTTACCTTGTAATAATACCATTTTTACTATTTGAGGCCACCCACCTAGTTCCCGCAGTATCAAACGGTTCCAATGGGTAGACGCATGATGTCCATATGTAGAGTCTCACCTACATGGCTCCCTTCTTCGACGGCCACTGTCACTCTTGATGTAACTCCTTCGACGTACCCTATGATTCACTTTCTCAAATAAGTAGCGCGTAGCTCTTCATTCAATTTACACTTCAACGATCCACTTCTTCATCTCGTCAATTCAGCCCCACAACCCGTTCCTTGATGCAGCCTCCCTTCTATACCGTCTGACATCATTAATGCAAACGCGACTTTCACTAATCCCGCGAAGGCAAAAGCAAACACTTAAACTTACCGCCAGCGGAAAATCATTCACATCTCAGAACAGCCTCACCAACGCCTCGAGCTTGGCTAACACAATCATCCGGCTTCGGCCTCTGCCAGCGACCCCCGTAACTAGATTCACAATTTTCAAAAAACTGGGGCAAATACAGTCTTTATGGTTTCTCGATGTGGGGTCTCAAATGTAAGACTCAGTATTCTAGGAACTTACATGGCTTCTACTCAATCTCAACCGCCATGCATTTCGATGCCTTTTTAGGGCTCGCTCTACAGGCCGCTCTCGTTAATAGACCGCCAGCATTATTTAGTTTGAGTCCATATAAGGAAAAGGCACGCCGAAGTAGTCACCTTATATAGGATTGTATCATAATAGGTGTGAATCAAAGGTGAAAGGCTCACTCTTGCTTTAACATGTGTATTCGTTTGACTAGTAAACCGCGCAGACCGCGCGTTTCTACGACTATTCCTCTTGACTCAATTGTTCCTTTCTACTTTTCCCAAACTGTTTGCCTCTTTCGTCATTCCTGACATCGTTCCGGTGATTTGGATTAACTGCATTTATTCACGTCCCGAAGCTGTGAACGAACTATGGATCATCACCACCCTCCTACCCAGGTCTCGGACCAGGTAGCGGCGCCTAGCTTCTTGTCGGGTGAAACCGACAGCATGCTCAGTTCATATGTCGCACTGCAGAGCGACCTTGACGAGGCTTACAGGAAGTACCTCGGATATGCCGACATCATTGGTAGAGGCGACCTGATGGCACCGCTCTTGGGCGACTCGATTTTCTACCCCGAAGTAGAAAGAACAGCCGCTAGAATATTCGGCGAGCCACGCCCACGCTTGGTTCAAGGCAACGTCCAAGCACCCATTGAATGGACCGATGTCCTTCGTGAATCGCTAACTCCTGGGGATTTCCAACGACAAGAAAACGGCATGTTCCTGTGCCGCGTTCGGGGAAGTTTGATTGAGGTTTCTGAGGCGAGTTACCTTGAGATCCTCACCGGCGTCACAGAACGACTCTTGCAGCCATTGCAAAACTTGTCCGACGAGCAGAAGGAGACTCGAGCACGCCTCAAACTGGGTGCCTACCTGCATCAGACACACGAGTCACTCGTCCAATGTAAGCCCGCCCACTTCTATGACTTGTTCGGTTTTCAAACTAATGTGACATTCAATAGTTGCCAGCGCAGTGCGCGAGTCTATCATTGCTTTGGGTGTAAACCCGGCTATTCATGATATGCAGCTCAGCTCCATTGGATTTGCTAGAGCTCGACTGCCCACCCCAATGTCGGCCCCACCCGTGACTCCTACTCAGTGGGTGCCCTACATGTCCATGTCCCACACAGAAGGCGATATCCATGAGAGCACTATCAAAGAGGAAGAAACAGAATTCGTTCGGTTTGAGACCCCTGGTATCCTTGGTAGCTATCTGGCGGAAAGCAGACATCCTGACAGCAGAGGAAGGGTTCAATCTGCGCGGTCTGACGTTTTTCGAGGTAATTTCATTGATTCTATGAGCGAGCGCAATGGTTATACCCCGTCATCTGTCGACGATCTGAGTTCCATTGATCCAGCCAGCAGCTCGGATTATTATGCTTCGTCAATTGGCATCACTCGAAGCAACTCCACTGATTCAGCGAGCCACAGGATCGCGATGGATGCATATCACAGTATGGTAGCGGCCTCTGCTTACCTGAACCACAACAACTATTTCAATCCCGAATTGATTGATAGCAACGTCCTCTCCGTCAACAACCATGCGGTCGAAAACACGGATGCCAATGTCAATTCCGATGTCAATGCCCGTACTGAACCGTCTAAACTCACCTCAGAGATGAACGTTAATTCAATCACTCCATGGTTGCGCGACATTGATACTTCCAGTGATGTAGGCGGCGATGCTGAATCATTTGGATCCAACATCCCTTGGCTGGCTCAATCCGAGGACGCATCCCGTCCGGCTGATACCGCTGCAGAACAATATGGAACGAGATACCGAGGCGTAAAGAGACCCCGAACTGAATGTTCTTCCAGCGAATCTGAAAGTAAGCCAGGGGCCGGTACAAGATACTCTCCAAGGGAAGAGGCCGACGGGCCTGCATTTGTGAAGTGTCTGGTCGACAAAGGATCTACTTCCGACGAAATTGAAGAACAATACTTCAAGATTTTCGGGGTTTCCCGGTCTGCGAAGTGTCTTTGCAAGAAATTCGAGATGAGGGGTACTTGGGGGTTGCTGAAATCTCACCGAGAAGCTAAGATGCAGAGGACTATGGTACGCAGCCGATTACTCCCGTCTTATATGGAACTTTACTGACGACTCTTCTAGTCATCTTAGTCCTGCTGTGATCGATACAGGTGATTTTCCTATGGGGTCGGAGCCCAGTTGGCTAATGGGAATACATATGAGATGGAATGGCTTTGGAAGGAAACGGGATAGCAAGGGTGTTAGTTTAGAGGATGGTGAAGACCTGGAGGCATCATAGCCGGTCATGACCACTCTCTTAATGACAATTTCCTGATATTACAAGTCCATAAGTCCATACTTAACTTATCACTAGAGTAAATAATGGTATGCTCGGTGTCAGTATATGGTATACTCCCTAGAGGTGTACATAGTTAGAATCCCCTACAGGCGTACATAGCTAGAGTCAATCTGTAGTGTTTTTTTCCCATTGTACTCACAGCAATTAGATTGGCCTCGTGATCGAAATAGAGACTGAGGTGTTCCCTATCCTCCCTCCATCTTCTTTCTTCTCATCACCTTTCTGTTCATCGGACCAACAACGCGTCTCAACTTTTAAACCAAAGCCTTTTACCAACATTACTCTCTTTTCTGTCCTTCGCCTGAACAGTTGCCACCGTCATGGGTAAAAAGAAGGGTGTCCATGTTGGCGTCCGTGTCGGCCAAATTGAAGCATTGCACTCAACTCAACCTGGAACCAAGCACTCAATAGAATCCAAGGTTTTTTCCGAAGAAAGGAAGTCTTCGGCCTTCGGTTTTGATTCTGAGCTTGAAAAGGCTCTCAATAAGTTTTTCGGTGGTCCTCCTTTTTTCTTGATTCTACCTGATACCATTGAGGGCCACTCCAAACCTTCGACAGGCAAGAGAGCGTGCAAAGGCCGCCGGCACCCAATTGTCGTAGTTACTTGGGTGGATGTACTTTCTGAAGCAACAACCGCAAGTCAATTTCAGCGCCAGAAAAATGGCATGTATCGGTGTCATGTTAAAGGAAGGTTGATCGAGGTGTCTGCGGAGAATTACCACTTCATCGCATTGGGTTACCCCCAACGTATGATGAATTTTTCATATCTGTCCGAGGCACAGAGAGTACAAGAGGCTGCTGGAGCTGTGAGAGAACAAGACGCCAACCCTTTCAATGATGGCGTGGATCGTGAGTTTGCTGTCTTCCCTGGTCAGTTATCTGGATACTAATATGGAACAACATGCACAGAGCCGCTCAACTCCGCACCCGACCCAATGGACATGACCCGAAGCTCAATTGCAGATCTTTTGCGTCAAACTGAGAAGAGTGCCATGGTCTCATACCAAAGTGAGAGAGATGTCACAGGAACCTGCCATGGTCTCATACCAAAGTGAGAGAGATGTCACAGGAACCTGCCATGTGGCCGAAGAATTCCAGGCTGAAACAACACGGCTTCGCCCCAACCACAGGCAGGTTAGTCTCCAGTCTCATCGCAAGCAGGGTTTCTCTAGTCGGACTCCCATTTTGATGGCAAACAACCCAGTCAGATCAGAAGATAACCTGATCAGATCTGACGTTCCAACCCACATTGATGATCGCGGGGCAGGAAGCTTGGATATCCTGAAACAGTCTCAATCCGAAACAAGTGGTCCCGGAAACAAGAACAAACTCCTAGTTACTACCCATCACGAGAGCTCTTTTCCTTCTTGGACCCCCTCTCCGAAGAAAGAATGGCGCGTGCGAGAGGGTCCAGTTGCATCCAATACCTCCCCTCGTGCAGCGCCGACTATTCGGTATTCCTCACGCGAACTAATCGAGGGACCAGCCTTCATCAAGTCGCTCATTGAGGGCAGCACATCGTGGAAAGAACAGGAGGAGCTGTACCAAGCCGAGTTTGGTGTTTTTCGCTCCCAGTTTAGACTTGTCAAAAGGTTCGGCCTGGTCGACATGAAAAACGGCGGCTTTGGCAAGGGGGCGTTCAAGAAGTCGTCGAGACAACTCAAGTCTCAGGTATGATATCTTCCAATCACTCTTAATCCGTTCTCTCTCTTACTTGATCAACCGATTAACATCTCTTAACAGTCGACCTACACCAACGTGGAGCGCCGGGAATCCAGCCCGATTGAGGCTTCCCAGGCCATCCGCCGGGCGCGGGAGAAGAAAAGGGACAAGGGGAAGAAAAGGGACCCCGGCCCTTCCGACCCTGCGTAGGTCAGTGATTCGAGGTCGGGCCGGGGGCCTAAATTGCTAGTTCGAACCCAAATCTCGACAAACGAATTGAGACCCCGCTAGCAGGGGACAGAAGGAATATGAGTTTTGGGGGTGATGATACTCCCTGAACATGTGTAAGATTCAGAAACAGAAGCACAATGAAAGCGTACGCAAAAGTGATGATGCAGTCGTAAATTAAGTTGTTAAGTACATAAGGTATAATAATCTCGGAGTCGGAACTCAACGTTTCGTTAATAATAGAGAACTAGGTTCATTCCACAGTGGACGTATACAACAAATAGGAAAAAGAACCTCATATCCACCGTATATGCTTCAAAAATGTGTTCTTACAAGGCGAGAGCAAGACCCAGCACACCAACGGCTCCAGCAAGACTCATGGCCACACCAGTGGGGGCGGCACCACCATCGGCAGTGGTGGATGAAGCAGAGCCGGAGGCCGAAGCAGAAGCCGCAGCCGAGGACGAAGCAGCGTCCGAGCCAGTGGCAGCGGAAGAGGAAGATGAGACCGTGGTAGTAGAAGTAGAATCGGTAGAGGACGAAGCGGCAGCGGCAGATGATGAAGCGGCAGAGGACGAAGCGGCAGATCTAGAAGCGCCGGAGCTAGCAGCACCAGAGCTAGAAGCACCAGAGCTGGAAGCGCCGGTGGAGGTGGCCTCAGCAGTGCTAGGGCCAGAGCTGCTTGCGCCCGAGCTGGTAATTTCAGCGGAGACGGATGATGCGAAGGAAGGATAGTAGCCCTCAACCGCGGTAGTAACGTACGCCTTGACGCTGTCGGGGAGGCTGCTGTACCAGGTCGGCCAGGAGTTGGAGACGATGCCTTGCTCGACTTGCGAAAGGAAAGCAGCGGTATTGGTGGCTTCGGCCCAGAATGAGCTTGGGACAGCAGTTGCTAGAACCACGGCAATGGAGGGGGGAATTATATCCGCGAGGCCAGCGTCTCCGGATTCAATAGCGGAGTTGGTGTCGGCCGGGGCGGCCATGGCCATGCTGGCGAGGAGGAGGGCTGCGAGAGACTTGGGCTGCATGGTGACGGTTGGAGGAAGTATATACTCGGGGTAGAAGGAGGAGATAAAATGGTTGTGAAGACGAGCTATCTCTGGTGTAATTGACCAAGTGGAAGAAAAAATAATCAGCATCTGGGGGCTTTATACCTAATACGCCTGATGCGGACCCTGGAAGGCAATGCGAGGCTGCGGCATAGCCCGAATGAGACCATCGCGCTATGTTCCCGCGTTCCACTAGCAACGGCCAATCGCAGCCTCGTCGCCCCCAAAAGTTGTCGATCAAATTGAAAGGTTGCACCTGAGATGTTACGAGAAATCTTATATAGCGCAAGCATTCGCCTAACATCTCCAACGTTGGGGGCTACTGTAGGCGCCCTGCTGCGAAATTACCCGATGTACGATGTAGGGCTAGAGGCTAACTAACGTCTCTTTTTTTCTGATTTCGGAACTCATCCTCTGTACGAGTCCTGGTATTCCTCAGAGGATACTACAGTGAATTGAAGGTCCGGTGTTCTATCCGTTCGCCAAGTCCCAAGACCGCATTACGCACGCCTTTTTGTACGGAGCACAAGGCTCTCCATCATTGGATTCGGAGGCTCTTGAACGTGTTTATATGACGTCATTTCTTGGGGGCCCTTGGAAATAATTCTTGCTGCCTTTGTCTGTACGGCGTTTGACTGGTGCTTGGGTGGTAATATCCCCACCTGTCTTGTGTATGGGGTTAGCGGTGCAATTCAAGGGTTCAATCAGACGACATGTTATCGAATAGAAGTTTTTATTGTACGTAAACACAACACAGTTATATGCACCGCCCATTCAAACATCTCCTCGATGGCAAGTCATTGGCACAAGGCATCCAATAGGGTCTACATCATACACAGCCGTGCCCCACCTGGGCACAAGGCTGTGTTGGGTAAAAGACCATAAATAACCACCTCCATGTAGTGAGACTCTAGTGAAATCGAATCAGTCTACAGCATTGCTGCGACATATTAAGTTGGGCCTGTTTGAGCACTCGCCACTAGTGCTTGGGACGTTCATATAGCCACTACATTCTCGGCATTCGTCATGGTCATGAACCACTCGGGATCAGTAGCTAGTATCTTCTATCTATGTTTTAATATCTCGGTTAATTTATATCGCTGATTGATCACACCTATGTATGTCTGCATATATGTGTAGGGGGCACTATATATATATCTGGTGCTAACGGTAATGGCTATTGTTGTGCCACTTCGGGCGTGAGCCATCGAACTCTACATATATATATATCTCTCGCAGCGATATATCAAGCGTGAATTCTTTTCTTTAAAGAAATATAAAGGCAATGGATTCCGCACCAAAAAGTATTGCCATTTACCGTCAGACCAAGGCTATTATGGCTCCACTTGATGTGTTGATGTCTACAACGTGGTTTTGCTGGCAACTTTCTCTATTGATATACTACAGCAATTTCAACAATCCGAGACACTCCAAACGAAATCGTTCAAATGAAACATCGCAATCTCATTTTGCATCCAGTTCGAAGGAATAGGATAGATAGAAAGGACAAAAAAAAGAACAAAAAAAAGAAATCTCTCCCTCGGGGAATCGAACCCCGGTCTCCCGCGCTTATCGGTTTTAATGACAAGCGGAAATCATCACCACTAGACCAAGGAAGAATGCGATGACCGAGTTACTGCTCGGCCACTTGGCTGGTTGATGCAAAAGTGATGAAGCGAATGACATATGTACCACACATTCGCAAATGATACTCGTTAATCCATGCTCTCTTCCAATCGTACGCAGTCTATTGGCTGGTCTAACTTGCAAGATTGCAAGCAAGATCCCAGGCTATCTGACCAGGCTATTTCTATTCTCCGTGTTAGAGATAGTCCGCCCTAATCTCAATCCCCACCTTGAATGTTCTCAAACGGAAAGTCCTGGAGAAGTCCGGGTCTTTCAGCCGACTTCCCCGCAGGAAGAAATAAAACCGTTAGGACGCGCATTTTTCTTTGCGGTTTAAAAATCACAAACAACTGTCAATTATGACATCCGTTTTCAAGAATGGGCGCATCTTCGTGCCGTCGCAAGCTCCGGATAATGAGGGGAACTTTGCCGAGTGCATGATCATCGAGAATGACAAGATCTCGCACGTCGGCTCTCTCGATGGAATAACCATCCCAGAAAATGCAAATGTCATTGACCTGGAAGATCGGACTGTCATTCCAGGTTTTATCGACGCTCATGTACACATCCTGCATTACGGGCAGTCATTGCGCAAAGCCGATCTCATCGCATGCACCTCCCTCGATGAAATCCGCGAAGCCATCAAGTCCTACGCCGAAGCCAATCCATCTCTGCCGCGCATATTATGCCGAGGCTGGATCCAGGCATCTACCAATGGAGTCGCATTAGCAAGTATGCTGGAGGGTATCGACCCGCGTCCCATCTTTATTGACTCCTTCGACATCCACTCCATGTGGTGCAATGCAGCTGCTCTCGATGAGATGGGGGCTCACACGGCCCCCGATCTCCCTGGTGGAACAATCCACCGTGATGAAAATGGACGAGCAACTGGCTTACTTGACGAATCCGCTATTATGAACCTTGCATGGCCTTATCTAGAAAGTCTTAGCTCCACGGAAGACAAACTGAGTGCGTTGGACACTGCAGTTGCTGCGTACACCGCTGCCGGGTATACCGGACTAGTGGATATGGCCATGGACGAAGGAACATGGGAGATTCTGAATCTCTACCGTCGCAATCATACCATCCCATTCCACATCGGCGCCCACTGGCTCGTCCCTTTCTCAGCGGATCAAGACGCCAACTTCAAATACGTGGATCGAGCGATTGAGCTACACCACCAGTACAACGAGCCCGATTTCCATGTCCTCGGAATAAAAATCATCTGCGATGGCGTTGTCGACGGATGCACTGCCGCTCTCCTCCAACCGTACACCGGTAAAACAGATCGCGTCGAGCCAATCTGGCCTGAGAATATGCTACAAGAAATAGTCCAGCGCGCCGACTCAGCAGGCATCCAATGCGCAATTCATGCGATAGGCGACAGGACTGTGAACCAAGCAATCAACGTGCTGTCGAGAGTCGGCACGCCAGGCCGAAGACACAGAATCGAACACCTGGAGATGACAACCTCCGAAGACGCCAAGCGACTGGGTCAGCTGGGTATCACAGCCTCAATTCAACCTGTACACTCGGATCCTACGCTTTTCAAGGCGTGGCCTGGTCTTGTGGGGCCCGACCGCTGTAAGCGCGCATTCGCCTACAAGGACTTCCTCGATGGGGGTGCTCCCATTGCTATCGGCACGGATGCCCCCACTGCGGCTCATTTTCCTTTCCCTAATCTTTACAATGCTACCACTAGGCGCTCGGCGATTCAGACCGAGACTGATGATACTGTAAACGAACATTTCAAGTTGGGGTTGTCTGAGGCGGCTACTGCTGCTACGACTGGTGCGGCTTATGCGCGACATGCAGATTCCTGGACTGGAAGCCTGCGGAAGGGATTATATGCGGATTTCTTGGTTGTTGATATGCAGTGGACGCCGGAGTCATTGCTTCAGGCGCGTGTCTGCCAGACTTGGTACCGGGGGAAGAAGGTTTTCGACTCATGAAGTGATTGATAGCGGTAGCCTATAGACTTGAAATTAGATAGAAGAATACACGGATGTACATTCTCTATTCCTTATGACGTCGGGTCTTGTGATGCGGGGTGGACATCACGGTGACATCACCGCTATTGCCTCACAACAGCCATCAAAATGTAGATGTACAACATACAGTACAGCACGCAAGTAAGATATAGAATATCAATTGACAATTTCTTAATTTGGAGTCATCGCTTCATGAAGACATCACTACTAGTTCCGAACTAAGTCTTCCCTTTGAAACTTCAGTGTAGTCCCGAGTACAACGAAGTATACGAACGCCAATTACTGGTCGAGTTGTTCGGGGTGCTCTTGCAGCCCACGGTCGGTACTTATATCAGAGAGGAATGAATCTGATGTTTGTCAGTACAAAAGCTTTGATCTCAAGAGTCGTAGTCGGGGGTAACAAAGACATACTGTGATCTACGTCCTGCGAAGAAGACCGACGTGGATATTCTGGGGCATGCTGATGCGCAGGCTGTGGGGAAACTGAAGTTCTGTTTATTTGAATCAGTCAGTAATGGGATACTTCGGGGTAGACTTCAAAAATTGTGATATAAACGCACGGGGCGACATCACTGTCCAGCATGAGATCCTCACTCCTGATATTGGATTGGTCTTGCTGTTGGTGCTCCATGTTTCCGATAGAGCTACGGCGCTTTTCGTAATTAGGATCTAGGGGGTTGTGATCAATATCCGTCTTGACCATGTTCGAATTTAGAGTAGACTATGTGGTGGCAAATGGTGGATTGGAGGTATGTGAAAGTGTTAGATTGGGGAAAATAAACTATTTATCTTATACTACGTACGGGAAGCCTCCGATGTCATAAGTTGGGCGTGGCAAACTTATGATATAAACAATCCATGCGGACGCGGACCTATCAGAGTCATCGTGATCCTGGTATTTGAACAACGAATGTCGCCCATATTGAATATTGGCGGGGAGGCCATGAAAAAGAGTTGAGCTCTTGTGATACTCACTTGAAGTCGACTGACTCGTTTTGCACTGCGAATTAATTTATCATGGCCGAAATTGTATGAGGTCAAGTGCTCGTCAATGTACGACACGATGGCAAAATTAGTAATATTCTGGGCCATTCGATTGTAGTTTAGGATTGCGAAATGAAAGGACAAGTGGAGGAGAGGTATGAGAAATATAGATGTAGTACTAATACTCGCTGGTTCATCGTCTATACATTTTGATCTGTCGTCTACTCTTGGTATATGACCTTTCTGCTTGCTAGCTTAGCATCGAGTTCGAACCACCGGGGGCAAATTGCAAGGCGTCAAAATCTCGCCGGGGAGAAGTAATATTCAGTTTCCAAGTATGAGACAAGTCAGCGCCATGTCAACAATTTGTGGCGGCCCTCCTCGCAACATACATACAGTCACAACAGTGAGATGTTAGGCTTCTGGTGAGTGCTGCTTGTGATTTCGGACACATTGCCATGACCTTTTGGTCTCACGAAAAGACATTCCTCTTGGGATAATATACCTCGAATTGTTTTGAGAGTTGAGAATCTCATTCTGGGTTCTTTCCTCCAGAAAGTTTCCCACCATGTCATTCATTCATCCTAAATTCATTCCGCAGCCAAGGTGACAGGCCATTTGTCATGGCACGTATATTCCGCGGTGTATTTCAAAGATGGCGGATATTATATGACAACAGAAGGGATTCTGTTGCTGACATTCTGGTGTCACCAATGGGTCATTGGCACGACCATATGAGTAGCAATGTCGTGCTGCTACCAACCGAAATCATTGTAGTTTGAGCCGAATGAAGATTTTCCCTCGTAGTCCAGTATTATTCCCGACTCTAGGAGGTCTGGCTCACGTTGGTTTGTCCCTTTGTTGAATGTAGATATTTGCCAGGGAAGCAGTTGCCTAAACAGGAAAACACACTAGTACCAAACCGGAAATGGAATGCGATCACAGGAATAGAGAACTCCGATCCGAATTTGCTTCTGCGCCCCTGGTACGGAGTTCATGATCAAATATCTCGAGGTTCTAGAAACCGAGATGCGGCTCAAGCGACCGTTAAGTGCTATTAATAGGTTTATGATTACGGAAGGATAGCCAAACGTATATATTGTAGGAAAAGTACGCTATGAAATGACTGACGGCCGTGACAATGACGAACAAACTCAACGAGACAATACTACACCAGTCACTGAAAGAGTCACTATTTTCCTAAAAACCTCTTGATTGATGATTGAAGTACGGAGTAAAAAGGCCATTCTTGGCTTCAACCCCACTACATCTTGGCTTCTTCATACAGCTAAGAGATCCGATATTGAAGCTGCTAGATCGCGAACCGCGGAATGCACAAGGTCCCCTCTGGACCCGCTGGACGGAAATCGTCTAGCTCGAGGTGTATCGTGCAGGGTAAGCCGAGCATGATTCGCCTCGGGACAGGGCCGACAAAGCCAATGTGGGGTGCAGAAGCAGATCATTTAGCTAATTCTTCATCTAACCTTGGAAGCACATCAGAAGAAGACCCGGTCAAAGCAACGTCATGAACCAACCACGTTGTGTGAAGTTGAAATCGACCCCGGGGCATATTGTCACTAGTCCTAATGGGGCTATTGTCTGGAGAAGTGGGTGGAGAGAGGATGTCACTGTTCGGATCCTCAGTTGACAGGCGCACACAAATTTTTTCACAGGTTTAAAGAGAGCGGGATTTGTCGGTTTTCTGAAGGTTTATGCTTGAAGTAATTGCATTGCTGTTTGCGACTACGATCTATATAAAAATCTTTGAGGTGAAATATTACATCATACCTTCAAATTTGGTTTTGGTTCACTCTGGATCCGGAAGAGAAACACCAAGGCTGCACCAATCTATACCAGCCTTGAAAAGTGTCAACTGAGTCGCGGTGGGATCGGAATGGTGTTCACACGTGGCGATATATCCGGCCACGATGATCAGACAATAGGTAAACCCAGAATACCACCAACCGAGATCTAGAATATTAACTAACAGCGACATAGATCATCAAGATCCTAGCAAAGATGTCATAATTGTGTCCTGGGATGGGCCGCGAGATCCAGGAAACCCATACAACTGGTCTCTGTGCGAGAAATGGCTTCTCACAGCCCTCGCCGTGTTCGCCACCTTCATGACCATGATCAACGGCACAATCATCACAGTAGCCCACGATCCTATGAATGAGCGCTTCAACATTTCAGATGCCCATTTCCCACATTCATACTGGCCCGTCACATCGTGGGCCGTTGGCGGTGGCTGTTTCTCCCTGCTGGTCCTGCCGCTCATGGAGGATTTCGGTGTGCGATGGGTGTTCCTGGGCACGTACGTGACCTTCATCTGTTTTGTCGTGCCCCAGGCTGTGGCACAGAATTTTTACACGTTGGTCATAACGAGATTCTTCGCCGGGGGTTGTGTCTCCATCCTCGCCAATACCTCTGGCACGGTGATTGGGAATGTCTGGGACACAGAGCTAAATCGCAACGTTCCTGTCAGTCTTTTTATCGTTGCCTACCTGTCGGGTAGTAGCATTGGCCCCGTCATTGGGGCTGCTATCTACCAGGCTCTCACGTGGAGGTGGATTGGCTATATCCAGATCATGTGGTATGGCGCTTTCTTCCCTCTGTACTTCTTTTTGTTCAGAGAGTGTCGTGGAATTGCAATCCTAGGGCAGCGAGCTAGGGCTCTGCGACGTGAAGGCCAGAGCGCTTATACCCAGCATGAAATCGACACACAAGGCCAGTCGATTTTGAGTATTGTGGGCCACAGCGCGATCAGACCTCTTTTTCTCTTCTTCACCGAGTCCGTGGTGTTTGTATCGACGCTATGGTCCGCCTTTACCGTCGGTACGTTGTACCTATTCACTCAATCTGTTGAGCAGGTGTTTGTAGCCCTGTATGGCTGGACACCAGCACAAGCTGGATACGTCCAATCAGCAGTCGTGATCGGAGAACTTCTGGGATGGGTGGTTACCTTGTTCTCAGGCAAACTTTACTTCAACTCGGCATCCCGCAACAAGGAAATTCCCGGTACGCCTATTCCGGAGGCCCGGCTGTACCTCGCTATTGTAGGCGGTATCTTCGGCATCTCGGGTGGTATGTTCACATACGCTTGGACCTCATACCCCAATCTTCCGTGGATCGCACCGGCCGTTGGTCTCGCCATGGTAGGGGCTGGCAGTGTCATTGTCGTGACGGGAATTTCCGACTATGTGGTCGATGCGTATAGCAAATATGCAGGCAGTTGCATGGGTATCATTGCCACTGGTGAGAACACCCTGGCTGCGTTCCTCCCTCTAGCTACCATGAGCATGTATTCTCATCTTGGCCTCCGATGGGCTAGTACGCTACTAGCTTTCATTGCATTGGCTCTATCTTTTGCCCCGATATTGGTGCTGATATGGGGCAAAGAGATCCGTGCACGGAGTCCGTTCATGAAGGAAGCCATGGTGGAAAAGAGGAGGAAGAGTATCGACTCGGTCTGACGAATTTTTCTCTGTACACAAAGCGCTATGAGGAACATATTGCACATATTAAAGATTTAAGAACTTGTTTGTTCACTGAATATTTTCTCGTGTTTAAGTTTATCGTTCTCCCTTCAGGGCTGATGCCCGTGGACAAGTAAATCAAGACCATCCTACGCCCCAGGAGTTTCTCAAAGGCTTAGCCATGGGGCTTTGAGACATAACTAGATAGATTTTAGTTTGCTCTAACCTAAGATCTAAATTTAAAACTATAGCCGACATTCTCACCTCATGATCCCCCTACTTAAGCAAGAACACTTGGAGAGTGAACTCAAGACTGTAAACTTCAAGCGACAAGTGGATCAATTGTAAGCAATATAGTTTGAATCAGGGGGAATTTTCATAGAACTACTCCATAAATGTCGGAGATATTCCAGATTGCGGTTTAGACCAGTATTGCGCTAGCCCGAAATGAAGTCCCCCCCTTAACCTCCCACTATATGTCCTTCCACGTTTGTTTTTCAAGGCCCTCGAGGCGAATGATTATTGTTGCTTAACGTTATCTCCCGAGAAGAATATATCTGTCAGCCACGGACGGACCAGCTAGAAAAAAAAGAAGGGAAAAAAGGGGGAAAAGCCCACTGTCCTCTGTATCGCAACCCACGATCCAACTACCAAGTTAGGAATAATAGCCGGATTATCCCGTTAGTCCTGCTCCCCTTCAAGAACGAGGGGTGAGACAGGCTACGAATCCGCCTCTCTTCTTCCTCAATGAGAAGTCGTCAAACAACCTGTTTTTCCTCATGAGGTTGCTTGCATGAGTCGAGGAATGACATCCCCACGTTTCTGTCAATTGTCGAATTCTAGATCGTTTCAGGGCGGACGATCAAACGGTTTGATTGCCGGTGCCCTGTGCGATGGTCTGACCATGTACATATATAGAGTTAGTACGGAGTTTATACTGCGTTTGCACTAGCTGGGTACCTCCGCCGAGACTATCAGCTAGTTTCTCAGGGGCTGGAAAACCTTGATTGGAGTTGAAACCTCCAGCCAGAGTCTATATTGATTGCATGAGAATCGTGGATGGTTAGTTCTCGATCTAATAGCGCCCCATTGAGCTAGATACAATACATGCTGTTTTTAGTTCTTTTTCGGTGTCTTACTTTTTGGTTTGATAGTCGATATGGCGATAGTCGATACAATATATAGATCAGTCGATAAGAGTAGTCGAATGCAACCGTCTTTTTAGTTCGACGATGAGACATCCTGACACGTAGATACGTACACTGATCTGATAATGATGATCTATGTGGAAGATGACATGATTGTACATTCCTGTTCTTCGGATACAGGTGTGCAACCATCTCAAAGTACCAAGCTCCTTTAGGCTACTGATCTCATTGAAATCTCTGATCAGGAGACCGTACGCGACGAGTCACAGTAGTCTACCGACTCACATGCTGTGGGGTGTATCCAAAGCTTGGAATTATGTCACCCTATAGAAACCCTACGGTACCTGTTACCCATGTGGTCTAGAACTTTGCTCATTTTATTTATGACATGGCTGGCTGGGGAAAAGTGGACCAGGCACAGTACAGGTACAGGGTAAAGATATACAAATACAAATCTGTTTGGCTTGGTTTTGCAGGTAGAAAGCACTCAGGTATAATATTGCGTCTATATAATATAAATATAATATAAAGTTACTAATAGATACTACGTGCCCAGGTGGTAACCCCCACTCCGTATTCTCCCCATTAGACGAGTCCCATGCGGCGGGCTGTGGCCCCAAACGAGATCAGTCGGAAATACCGGATGTACAATCCAAAGCACAGTCTACATACAATTAGGCCTCGGAGAAAATAACAGGAGAAAGTCGGGAAGGTTTCAATGCATGTAAGCGCCCACTACACTTCTGAAACAACAGGGCGGGTGCTTCACATCGCAGCGCCAGTTTGATGAGCCTTGGCTGTCTCCACCTATCCCGTTGGACTCACAGGGCTTTTGGCCGAAAAGGATATCTAAATATGGCAAGTGATATGTTTATCACTTGGTTATGCAGCCTGATCACCATGTGGATTGGGCCAATCATGAATTTTGACATACAATACTATACAAATATACAAAGGGGGGTATATTCGCTTTGATAAGAACAGAGTCTTGGTTTGATATATTCCAAGACTAATGGCTATTGCACTTGGATGTATGTGTTGCTTCCAAGACCATCTTCTCTATATGTACGGAGTATCATCTGGGCATCTATGGAAGTATATGGGATGTGTACCTGACCCCGAATAAACTGATTTCCCCGTTCGACCCTGTAAATGACGGATAAATACAGCGTAAATAACCGGCAATACCAGATTAATGACATAAATAACATAAATAACACCCTTGGACCATTAACAACCATTATTCAGGCCTCCGCCCGGTATGACTAAGAATAACCCAAAATAACATTACTAGTTTATGACCGGTCAGACGTCCCTGGGCGCTTCCCCCATTCCCAGCTTCGATTATTATTAGACTTGACTGTATCTTCTTCCCCCCCTTCTTCTTCTTCACCAATACTCGAGCTTCTTCTTCACTTTCGTTTCTTTCTTCCGCTGCGCGCGAAAATCCCCAGAGGCTTACCGGCTGGTCCAGTTCCATTCTCTGACAATCTCTCTTTCTTTCTCCTTGTCTACGAGGCTGGTTCCTCCGTTCCCTTAGCCTTTCGTGCATTCCTTGTGTGATCTAGAACATCTCCCGATCGGATATCCTCTTTACTGGGCGACGTTGATCCTCGCACTTCCGGTCCTATCCCGTTCACCCATTCAGCTGGTGAGTTTGATCCGAGGTCTCGCAGCTATGTCTCAGCAGAGTCGCAGAGGGTTCCTTGAATTGGACTCAGATCGCCTCTTTGTTTGCGCATGGGTTATCATGCGGTCTTTTCCCCGGTGCTAATTATCTATATAGTGCGCTTTTCACAGACAAAATGTATCCTCAACCAGGTGCTCCAATTCCGATGGCACCACCTCAAAAGCCCGAAACTTTTATGCTCTCCACCGAAGCACAGCGAAGCCTACCCCATGACGCGCAAGTTGCTCTTCAGCAAGTGGATAATCGTATGTCTTTGGGTTATCTTTATCCCCCGCATCAAAGCAATGTATTGACATGGGGCCAGTGAAATATTTCCTTCTGTCTGCTCCCGTTGACTGGCAACCGGATCAACTCATTCGACGCTTCTTGCTTCCTACGGGCGACTATGTCTCTTGTGTTTACTGGTTCGTCTCACTCTTGAGCGTGATGGTTTGGGAAGCCGACTAACCCGGTCTCAATAGGAGCGGCCTCTTCCACATCTCCGGTACCGATATTGTTCGATGTCTCGCATTTCGATTCCAAGCCTTCGGACGTCCGGTGAAGAACTCGAAAAAGTTTGAGGAGGGCATTTTCTCAGACCTGCGAAATCTCAAGGCCGGCGTAGACGCGGTGCTGGAGGATCCAAAGAGCCCATTCCTGGACTTCTTGTACAAGAACAATTGTATTCGGACCCAGAAGAAGCAAAAGGTGTTTTACTGGTACGGCGTACCTCACGACCGGCTCTTCCTTGATGCACTGGAACGGGACTTGAAGCGCGAGAAAATGAATCAGGAGGCCACCACGGTCGCAGTCAGCGAACCGGCCATGTCCTTCGAATTCGACTCGTCTCAGTCTCTGTATGAGCAATTGACCAAGTCACAACAAGTGAATATGAACTCGTTCGCTGCCCACGCAAGTACGACATATGGCCAGCCCAACTCCCCCGTGCTTCGGACCGTTGACGCAATGCCTCCTCCGCAGATGGCTCCCCCAGCGATCCCTCTGATGCAAGACGACTCTGGGAATCAGATGTACAGCCACCAACAGATGCCCCTTTCGAACAATCTAGTCCAGAGCATCATTAAGCGCGAGCAGGACTATGGCCCCATCCAGTACGATCGCCACGGAATGCCCATTCCCCGCCCTCATCAGCGCCACTCTTCCATGCCGACCTTCTACGAGTACTCCCCTGCGCCATCCTTTGTATCTTCACAATATGAGGATTACAGCAATCGCGGCCTGTCCTTTGAACCAGTCACCCCGCCACAGCATTCGGTCGGACTTGGATCGGAACCGGCTTACATCGCCAACGAAGATACCGGACTGTACACAGCGATTCCAGATATTTCAAGCGGGCCTGCCTATCACCATATGATGCAGCTGCCTCCTTCGAACCTGTCTAGTGCTCACTATCAGCCTGTGCCCCGGTCCTATTCGGCAAACCCGTATCCCGTCATCGAGGGATCCCCAACATACAAGCAGCGCAGACGTCGGTCATCTATCCCGCCGAACAGCGGTGCTGCGACACCCAGTGGCGCAGCTCATGTCCAATCAACGACCCCGGGAGTCCAGGCGGTCTCGTACGCTGCTCACAGACCTAGTGATCTGCGGCGTTCGGTTTCTAGCTCAGTCGCTCCAGTCACGGAGGGGGATGAAGCCACTCAGGAACTCGCTCGCAATTACCCGAGTGCGCTGCTGCCACAAAAGGATCTTTATCACGAAATGTCCCGTCATAGCACGCCGCTGCAAAGCCTGGATCAAAGCACTGCACATCATTCAGGCTCAATGGCAAACCAACCCAATGATCTGACATCTCTCCCAAGCAGTGGTACCATCGAGACTGCGGTTCAAAATCATAATGCTCGGTCAGAGCGTTCAGCGCCTGGTCCTACTCGGAGAGCCAGGAGTGCAACCATGATGGAGTTGGGACCGTATCCAACCAAGGCCCACTCTTGCCCTATCCCGTCATGTGGTAGAACCTTCAAGAGATTAGAGCACCTCAAAAGGTAAGCTTACTTCTATTTTGTCACTCACCCTGGTGGCGCAGGTTTCACCGAGCGCCGGTGAGTTCGTTTCAATTGCCGCCGACTAACCCGTTTTTCTAGACACGTGAGAACTCATACACAAGAGCGTCCGTACCCCTGCCCTTACTGCAGCAAAGCTTTCTCGAGGTCGGATAATCTTGCGCAGTAAGTTATTATTGTCTTATTTATTATACGACTTTTGCTAATATTCAGTAGACATCGTCGGATCCATGAAGCGCAGCAGGATGGTCAGACAATCTCTCAGACCGAGGAAGATCTGGAGAACGATACACATGAATTCGGTTCCCCCAGGGAAGACATGTCCCCACAGCCCGCTCACACAATGATTAGTATGCCCAACATGACGTCGATGGCAGCTCCTTTGAGCATGCCGTCCGCCCTAACCGGTATGCCTTCACACATGATCGCTCCGCAACTTCTCCAACAACACATGTGAGAATACCATAGAGCACGATGTGTCTGCTGCAAAACAGTAGATGCAACATCTCATGTAATCATCACGGGGATTTGTCTCAACTTTCCTTTCTCTTTGGAGTCTTCAAGGCGCATACAGGCGTCCTTTTTGGGTTCGGGGCTTATTAGCGCCTCTTGTTTAATCGCACATGGTCTCATGCTGGCCTTGTACATACCGCGATATTATTGTATAGCCCGTGTGTTATGTCTTTGCTTGTCTTTGACACAGTCTTTCTTTTCCTTTGGTTTTGTTGGGTTTATTTTGGGTTTTCGAACTGTGCAATGGTCACAGGAAACGCCGTGTATTATTGGTGCCGACTGCCCTGCACGTGAATTGGGTTGCGCTGGCAGACATTCATTTCACGCCTGGCGGGCACGGGCACGAGCGAGGTTCGACTATCTCTCAATGGGAAATGGGTTGGAAAGGAAAGGATTTGGGTTTGCTTCTTCTTGGATCGTCAGGCATTGTCCACGAAGAGCGGCTGAGAACGGTAAGGTTATTTTGCACGCCTCAAATCACACTATATAGACAGAGACATTGTGTAACGACTTGAATTGGAAACAGAAAAACACTTGAAAATCTTCAACTACCAATATTTTCTTGCTAGTAAATGTCCACGGTGGCAATGATGTGATCAAGGGCTGGTATGGTCCTGAGGTAGTAGGTCACGTGCCGCTGACGTCGCCCTCGAGGAATGGGATCTCAGCAGATCGCCCGCTGACACACCGCGCTTTGATCAACAGGGCTATACCCTGTCGCCTTTTAGCTTCTCTCAGCTACTAATCTGACTGCTGGCAGTAAATGATGCGTGGTTGCCAACACCCAGCATAGCCCCATCTTTCCTTTCCGACGATATCTACTTCCCCACACTCCAACAATCCACGGTCCACACTACCACGAACACGAGGATTGTAAATTAGTGAAGGAAATCTCCGGTCTCAGCAACTACCATCGAAAAGGCATATCTCAGCTTACTTGAGCCCCGAGTCACAGCACAGTCAGCTGCTGGAAATCACAGCAGGCCCAATCATATCCAAACACAAATCACCTAGTTTCATGAGTCAATCCTTTCAACGCATCGAAAGCCGGATTCCTTAATTTTCCCATGGGAGCCTTGAATTTCAAGCCTGCCCCTGGTTATATTGACGAGAGCTCGCCTCTCATGGTTGCTACTCGCTCTGCGGAGAGGCGTGGTGTGCGCCCTTTTGCCGGTGCCGATGAGTCGTCTAAGAATGCGCTGTACATGTTCCTTTTGACTCTTTCTATTGGTGGGTGAGTAGTTTTGTATGGGGTGATTTGACTTGTGGTCATTTATTGATATTGGGTTTCTTTGACAGACTTCAGATTGTTTGGTCTGTCGAACTTTCTAATGGATCGGTAAGTATAAGTCGCGACTTACAGGAGATGATTTGACCCCAACTTTGCACCTTACCCCTTTCATTTCCGAAGCTGTAAGACTGAATAAAAGAACATGCTGACGGGTTACAGCCATTCCTTCTATCCCTTGGGATGAGCAAGTCGCTTCTTGCCTTTGTTTGGATAGCCAGTCCCTTGACGGGCGCACTGGTGCAACCATACATCGGTATTCGAAGCGACAACTGCCGACTCGCGTGGGGTAAGAGGAAACCATTTATGGTCATTGGAGGTGCAGCAACTGTCGTTTCATTGCTAGCTCTGGCATGGGTGAAAGAGATTGTGGGAGGTGTTCTGTCTATATTCGGGGTTGAAACATCAGCGATTAAGATTGTTATCATTATCATGGCAACAATTTTCATGTGTTGCCTTGATTTTGCCATTAACACCGGTGCGCATTCCATCTTCACTTTTTTAATGGTTACTTGGCTAATCTTCGTCCTATAGTGCAAGCTGCAGCCAGAGCATTTATTGTCGACAACTGCCCTACCCACCAGCAGGAGCTGTCCAACGCCTGGGCCAGTCGTATGGTCGGCGTTGGTAATATCTTAGGGTATATCTTTGGCTATATGGACCTGCCAAAGGTTGTCCCTTTCTTGGGAAATACCCAGTTCAAGGTCCTGTGCGTACTTGCCTCGGTCTTTCTGAGCACAACTGTTGCCATTAGTTGCATCTATATCCAAGAGCGGGATCCCCGAGAAGACGGGCCCGTGACTGACAAGCTTGGCTTGGTCTCCTTTTTCAAACAGGTCATCAAGTCCATTCGGAGCTTGCCAACGCAGATTTCCCGCGTCTGTGAGGTGCAGATCGCAGCGTGGGTGGGCTGGTTCCCGTTCCTGTACTACTCCACGACCTATATCGGGCAGCTGTACGTCAATCCAATATTCGCGGATAATCCCCATCTCTCCGAGGGTGAGGTTGATAAGGCCTGGGAAGATGCTACTCGCGTCGGGACATTGGCCCTCCTTATCTATGCTATCATCTCTTTTCTTTCCAATATGTTGCTTCCTCTCTTCGTGGTCCCCTTGTATGGACCGGCGCCAGAGACTGTTTCGCAACGGGATTCCCTAGACGGTGATTTAGATGGTGATTCAGAGCCAGCTGCAAGGAGACTATCTTTTTCAAGCATCCCGACAGGCAATGCATCCGAGCCTCTGCTTGACGTTCCAGTCGGACAAGAGACCGAAGAGAAACCCACTTGGCTTTCTCGCCTGCGCATCCCAGGCTTGACGCTCCCGAGGGTCTGGCTCCTCTCCCATCTCCTCTTCGCGGCGTGCATGTTCAGCACTTTCTTCATCTACTCTCATCAAGCCGGGTCGGCATTTGTGGGCCTTGTCGGTGTCTCATGGGCTGTAGCATTGTGGGCTCCTTTCGCTCTTATCTCGGCGGAGGTAGCTAGGATTGATCCTTCTAGACGAAATCGTCGCCGAGCGGCTCAGACTACTTATACCGAGCATGCAGATGAGGCCCAGGATGAGGGTCCCGGTGAACTTGACAGCGTCGGTGGCAGTGATATTGAGAATGGACACCCGAAAGATTATCGTGATAATGGGGATGTTGCACAGGCGGGTATCATTCTTGGACTGCATAATATGGCTGTTTCTCTCCCCCAGATTCTGTCTAGTCTTGTTTGCAGTGCTATCTTCAAGGCATCCCAGAAGCAAAGAGGGGAGCCGTGGGATGATAGCGTGGGCTGGGTGCTACGGTTTGGTGGATGTGCTGCGTTGGTGGCTGCATGGTTGACTAGAAGGGTTTCGGATGGATCAAGATAGACATGATATGTAGATTGTACAATGCATTTATCAGTTCTTGTACATGTTCCGATGTTGTATATATTCAGTTTTAGGCAACGTATAACAAACATAAAGATTCTGCAGGGAATAGCGATCGTCGTGCAAAGCATGTGGGTCCTACATTCAGCCCTAGAGTCAATCAAATTATATCGCATAACGATGATGTGTTGCACCGAATCGGCCAACCCTTTGTTCCTGTTTATTTGGCCGAATCCCGAGAATCGGCCCACGTGTAATTTTAAATACACGATACGCAAAAAACCTTACGCTATCACCGTATTGTTCCAGTTTCACCACTAATTTGGGTCTAGCCAGCCCTGCCGTATTCTGTATTGTACAACCCGTACCTGACCTCATATCTGTCCCTCTGATGCAACTTAAACAGTCCGTGTCCTATTGCTCCGTACTGCTAACCCAATTCGACCTTGTCGCAACCTTCCGCTATCCATTCCTTTGTGGATTATGTGCGCCTGGTCCTGCCATCTTGATATCATTGTGGGAGTGAATTGCCAGTCCTTCGCTCTGGCCTTTGATACTTCCCAAGGCGTGAGCCGCGATGGCTAGCCAATTTATGAACGATGGCCTACACGCCCTGCTTCGTATGTCTCTCTGATCGATGGCTCTGAACGTTGCGCTTCGATTTTTCATTTGGACTGGGAGCTAACATGTCTATTTCTGTTGTAGGGAGGGCCTCTGAAGACTCCGACCCCGATGGTACGCGTGCCTGAACCCCCTCATCGCTCCCCTCTCGTCTTGTCGCGATATAGCGCTATTCAGCCTCGGAAATTTGACTAATATGGACTGCAGACTCCCCCGAGGCAGGGTCCAAGGAGATCACGAGCTCCTGGGCATTGTTTATCATGATCCTGTTGTTGATGTTCGCCCTCTTCACGAGCTATATCCTTCAGCAGAGGAAGATCCAAGCTGTCCATGAGACGGTTCTATCAATTTTTGCAGGTAGGCAATATCCTCGAGTGGTGCAGGCGCGATCTGAAAATATACAATATACAAAGATTCATCTGCGCAAATTGGTACGGACTTGCTAACGGTCGCTAGGGATGTTCGTTGGACTACTCATCCGTTTCACAGACTCCACCCTCCAAGACAGCGTCGCCTTCGACTATCAATTCTTCTTCAACCTCCTGCTTCCTCCGATTATTCTCGCCTCTGGTTATGAGCTCCACCAGGCAAACTTTTTCCGACATATCGGCACGATCCTTACGTTCGCGTTCGCCGGTACCTTTATATCCGCAATCGTGCTCGGTCTGGTGCTATACCTATGGACACGGATCCCGCTGAGTGGGCTGAATATCTCCTTTGTCGAAGCTATTTCGGTCGGCGCAACTCTCTCCGCTACGGATCCGGTCACCATCTTGGCTATTTTCAACCTCTATAAAGTCGAGCCGAAGCTCTACACTATTATTTTTGGCGAGTCGATTCTGAACGATGCCATTGCTATCGTGCTCTTCGAGACGGCACAGAGGTATCATGATACCGGCGCGGCTGGCTCTTTGACGTTCTTGAATCTATTTGAGGCCGTGGGACTCTTTTTGCTCGTGTTCTTTGGTAGCATGGTTGTTGGAATGCTGGTTGGAATCGCTACCGCGCTGGGTCTCAAATACACCCTCGTGCGGCGCTTGCCCAAGATTGAGAGCTGCTTGATCATTTTGGTTGCATACGCCAGCTACTTCTTCTCCAATGGCGTGCATCTATCCGGCATTGTCTCGCTCTTGTTCTGTGGTATCACCCTCAAGCATTACGCCTACTATAACATGTCGCGTCGCACGCAGTTGACCACCAAATACCTGTTCCAGGTCATGGCTCAACTCTCAGAGAACTTCATCTTTATTTACCTCGGCCTCGATCTCTTCGTGGAGCCTAACCTCCAGTTCAACCCCTTGTTCATCATGGTGGCAGTGTTTGGTATCTGTCTCTCCCGATACCTCGCGGTGTTCCCACTTTCCAAGGCTATCAATTGGTTCATTCGGTATCGAGCACGCCGCCGTGGCGTGGAGGTCCCCGACGAGTTGCCGTTCGCTTATCAAGCGATGCTCTTCTGGGCTGGATTGCGTGGTGCCGTCGGTGTTGCTCTAGCAGCTGGTCTATCGGGAGTCAACGCGCCCGCACTTCGTGCGACAGTACTTGTTGTCGTAGTGCTAACCGTGATCATCTTCGGCGGAACCACAGCACGCATGCTGGAGATTCTCGGCATCCGAACGGGTGTGGTCGAAGAGCTTGACTCGGACGATGAATTCGACACCGAGGTGACCCATGGCGGAACCTACTATAAGCGCTCCGGCACGAGCCTAGGATACATCCCGCGACGCACCGACTCGGTGATCCCCTTGGATGGGGTCACGGCCAACCCACGCGCTGGACCCGGGGAGCGAACACACAGCTACTCCACCGGAAACAGTCGCCGCCCAAGCCCACCATATACCCACACAAGAATGTACTCTGCCGCGTACAGCAACAAAGATCAATCCTGGCGCGACCGCCAATCTACCGCGACGTTACTCAACGGCGCAGCTGGACCGAGTGCTGGGGAAGGCAGCGACGACGAGTTCGGCCTGCCACCTTCAGGCGCCAGTCGTTCCAACGATCACACTCACCCTGATGAGTTCGATCTTGAAATCGAGGGCATCTCTGACGATGACCTCCCGCCGGCTGCAAACGGAGCCTCACGTCTCCGCAGATCCGCCTCCCAGCCCCCTCAGCCTTCGACCGTCTTACCCACCAGTGCCGCGGCATCGACCAGCGTCTCGCCCAGTCACCAGCCAGCGGGTATGTCCGCACGGGATGCGATGCGGGGGCTGTTTTCGGGTGGTGCTTCGGGCGACCATGCGGCTTGGTTCCGCCAGCTCGATGAGGACTATATCAAACCCACCCTTTTACTAGACCAGTCGAATCATAAGGGCCCTGGGCCTGGTGCGGTTTGAGATGATGATACGTTGGAAGTGACTTCCATTTTGTTTTGTTTGCTGTGGGTGTATATTTAGCCTTGGGTCTGCATTGTCGATGTTCTGCTTTTCTGCATTTTGGCTTCCATCCAAAGCCTGATTGCTTGTATGAGGTTGCGTAAACGAACCCCGGTCTAAACTTATAGAAGTCAACAAGATCTTCAAGTGGGAACTACAAGTACCCTCTGTAAAGTAACAGTCATAGCATTGGTTTTCCAAGGTTCTCCGCACTTTGATGTTGCCCGTTACCCCACACTCGGGATATCTCACCTGTAAAGGGAAGATGGTCAAAACACCCGACTGAGACAATCCAAAAAGCGTAAGACGAAGGAACAATCCCTCTGTCTCCGTCGATGGCGATTTAATAAACGTAACACCCTGCGATAAGCAAAAGCTTCGCCCTGGGTAGGTACAGCCGTGCGTTCCTATCTCTTCCAGCCTTATCGCCCACTCGGATGAGCGACAGCTATCTGCGCTGGATGGCGTAGGTCCGACATACGGCACCATGCTTGTTTCGGGCACACTTACGCCCGTGCCTATCTTCTTGTCATCTGATCCCTATATTAGCTTCTGAGGCTTGCGGTTGTGCTGGTATGTTTTCGAACCGGTTTGCGCCGCTTTTAGAAGGGGGCTTTATAGGAGTAGATGTCAGCACGGCTTAGTCTTGGTGATCTGCTAAGGAGTATAGGTAATTACGATGCTGTATGGAGTAACTACATATACGTACCTGGGTTGGGTACTAGGCAGTCACAAGAATTGAAGCAGAACAGGGCAATATGAGGCCCGCAGATATTGAGGTGCTACCTTGCATATCCTTACTATAGGGACATACATTATGATCAGTATACGACTTGAATATGTTGGAGTACGCAGTAGTAAAGCTGCCTATCAAGGGCTTTTGAAAATTCATGATCACCTAGGCAACCTGTCAAACAACCTACAATACTCTCAGTGGCGTACTGGGTTCTACTCAGCGATCAAAAGGCAGCAAGGGATGAACCCTAAGGGAGAAAACGGAACGTTTCAAGATCACATACAAGCTTGTATTTATGCTTTCGCGCTCCGCTAGTCCAGCCGCCTCTAACCTAAGTTGGCTCGAATATAGAAGTGATATGCAAAATGGTGTCATGTACCCCTCACCGTGCAGTACAGATAGATCGATCTAGTTATCTTGTAGTATTCTAGAATTGGAAGGTATTCAACGGTTATGTCTATCGAGACCGTGGTCGGATGGCAAGGATCTGCGCTTAGACCTTATCGAGTCTTGAGTCGGTGCTTATAGTACTTGTGTCCATCGGAATATTTTGAGACCTAAACCTCCTATTTTTCTTTTTGTCCCGAGGGCTCTATTTCCATCGAATCTTAGGTGTTCCTCTTCGATCGCGTGGGCTTTTGTTTGCCTACCCACGACTTCATTTCCTCTATAACCATTCCTACCCTAGCCATGGATGATACAATGGAGAAAGTGTTATCCCATAAGGTCAAGAGGCGTCAGTCGACGGCTACAGGTCATGACTCGATGCCCCAGGCTGGAGATACCGAGTTGCTAGGTGTGTATAATCCCCGGCTTATTGGAAATTGGTGTTACGATATGAGATCTTGTCACTGACGGATCAAACAGCAACACTCGGGTACAAGCAGGAATTGCGGCGTCATTATTCGACGATTGAGATTTTTGCTGTCGCTTTTAGTATTATGGGGCTTTTGCCTTCCATTGCATCTTCGTTGGCGTTTTCAATGCCCGCTGGGCCTGTGGGAATGGTTTGGGTAATATACTCCTCAGCCTGAAATTGGTTCGCATTGTGACTGACATAATGGATAGGGTATGCATCTATTCTTTCAGGAGTATCGTCTGGCAATTGCTAACAGACTCCTTGGTTAGGATGGTTCGTTGCGAGTTGCTTCATCTTCCTTGTGGCCTTGGCAATGGTATGATTTACTCCTTATATAACCCTAAAAACCACAGAACTAATAACCACCAGGCCGACATGGCATCCGCAATGCCCACCGCAGGCGGACTCTATTTCTGGACACACTACTACTCATCCGAGAAATGGAAGAACCCGCTCAGTTTCCTCGTCGGATACAGCAATACCATCGGCCTGATCGGAGGCGTATGCTCGATCGACTGTGAGTCAGATGCAATCTCAAACAAAAAGCCCATAATTAACACATCCTCATCAGACGGTTTCGCCAACATGCTCCTCTCAGTGATCTCTCTAGCCCGCGACGGCGAATGGTCCGCCACACGACCAGTCATATACGGCACATACGCAGCAACCGTCGTCGCACACGGCTTCATCGCTATCTTCTTTGCCCGGATCATGCCGAGGATCCAATCCGCCTGTATCTTCCTCAACATCGCTCTCGTGGTGGCTACCGTCATCGCCCTGCCCATAGGCAAAGCGAAGAATAGCCCGCCTGTCAACCCGGGCACGTATGTCTTTGGGGAGGTACAGAATTTCACTACTTGGCCTGCTGGATGGGCGTTCATGCTGGCGTGGCTCTCGCCTATCTGGACTATTGGTGCGTTCGATTCCTGCGTGCATATGAGTGAGGAGGCGACGCATGCTGCTCGCGCCGTGCCGCTGGGAATTATCTCTTCTGCTGGACTATGTGGTATTCTTGGGTTCGTTTCGCTGGCGGTTATTGCGGCGTCGATGGATACGGATATCGAGGGGATTCTGAATTCGAAGTATGGACAGCCTATGACTCAGGTATGTTTTCGTCTTCTTTCTTTTATGGGGTCGTACTTTCTAATCTGGGTTCTTTATAGATCTACTACGACGCCCTTGGCAAAAGCGGTGCCCTTGGCTTCATGGTCGTGGTAATGATTGTTCAATTCTTCATGGGACTGAGTATTGTGAGTTCCCGTCTTACCATCTACTCGAAATCCCAGAACCCATTCACTAATCCACCCACCCAGGTCCTAGCCGCCTCCCGCCAAAGCTGGGCCTTCTCCCGCGACGGCGCCCTCCCCCTATCCTCCTTCTTCCGCAAAGTAAGCCAACGCAAGTTCACACGCTACCAGCCAGTCCGCATGGTCTGCGGCATAGTACTCGCATCGATAATCATCGGCCTCCTCTGCCTAATCGACGAAGCAGCCGCCAACGCCCTCTTCTCGCTCGCCGTAGCCGGCAACGACCTCGCCTGGCTAACGCCCATCCTGGCGCGTCTGCTCTGGGGCGGCGAGCGCTTCGTCCCTGGTGAGTTCTATACAGGCGCTTATCTCAGTAAGCCCATCGGGTGGGTTGCCGTCATCTACATGATGTACGTTATTGTTCTTACTATGATTCCTACCGAGGGGCCGAATCCGTCGCGTGAGTTCTATTACTATTCCCGGTGCTTTTGCTTTTGCTGACAGTCTGTTTGAAGCTCAAAATATGAATTATACGGTTGTTATCAATGGGAGTCTTTGGCTTGGGGCGTTGCTTTATTATTATCTTCATGCGAGGAAGACGTATAAGGGACCGCAGACTACTGTTAGTCCCGAGGATGAGGGCAAGGCTTTGGAGCAGGACTCGAAATAGTTGCTAAGATATAGATAGACGTTTGGGTGGGACTTCGGCCCGATAATGCTCGGTGAGGCTTTGTTAACTATTCCTATAGATCAAGTTCATGTACTCAATACTACAAGTTTACTCTATCCCCATTGGTTGGGGAGACACCGGGGATTTCAGTTCCAAATTCAGATCAGATTTGGCCTTCAATATCGCTAAAATCACCCTTTCAACAGGGCTAATAATTGTCGCTAGACATTAATTCTCGTTCTTCTTTATTTTTTCGTTTCTTCATCATTTCTTCGTCGTTCTTCGTCGTTCTTCATCGTTCTTCGTCGTTCTTCGTCGTTCTTCGTCATTCCTTCGTCGTTTCGCAAAAGCAATTACCCTTCTGAGTCTCATTCCAGACTCAACGCATAGATGAGGATGCATCTATTCAGGAATCTCGAGGACGTAGCGGCCAACGATCTTGTTTTCCTCTGGATAACATAGATTAGCATATGGCATATCAAGTAATCGAAACATCCAAACTTACCCATGAGCTTGAACACCTCAGGCAGTTCTTTCAGGGGAACAACCTTGAAAGGAGCCTTGATCAAGCCACGCTCGTAGAATTCAATGGCCTCGACGCCATCCTGGCGGTTACCGACGTAGCTACCCTTAATGGTAACCATCTTGACAACGGTTTCGAAAACAGGGGCCTTGAGGAACGCATGGGCGGGAAGGCCAATGGCAACAATAGTACCACGAGCGCGAACGTACTCGACAGCCTGCTGGAAAGGCTTCTCGGAGACAGCGAGCAAGAGCACAGCGTGGGCACCTAGGCCACCGGGAGTAGCAGCCTTGACATCTGCAATGACATCGGTAGACTTGGTGAAATCGATGTAGGTCTGCACAATATATTAGCATGATCCCAAAAAGTTGTCCGGAATAGAAAAGCGTACCTCTGCGCCAAGCTCCTTGCACATCTTCTCCTTCTCCTCGCCACCGTCAATAGCAAGAACGCGCAAGCCCATAGCCTTAGCATACTGCTGCGCAAGCGAACCAAGGCCACCACCAGCACCAACAATAGCAACCGTCTGACCGGGGCGCGCACCGGACTCCTTGAGACCCTTGTAGACAGTAATACCAGCACAGAGAATAGGCGCAATAGCATCAAGCGGCACATCCTTGGGCAGCTTCGAAACGTGCGCTGCTTTACCAATCGCGTACTGCTGGAATGTACCATCAACGGTGTATCCAGACAGCTGGGCATGGGGACACAAAGGCTCGTCGGAGGATTCGCAGAACTCGCATGCGAGACAGGAGCCGTTGAGCCATTTGATGCCTGCGTGGTCGCCGATTTCAATGTCCTGCACGAGAGAGCCCTTTGCGACAACAACGCCGGCGCCTTCGTGGCCGCCGACTAGGTGATCCTTCACGGTGAGGGGCCAGTCGCCGTTCATGGCGTGGAGATCGGTGTGACACACGCCGGTGTATCGCATCTTCACGAGGACTTCATCTGCGCCCGGCTTTGCGACGGGGATTTGCTTGTACACGGGTCGTTCGCCTTTATGTTCGATGATTTGCGCCCATTGGGTCTCGGGGATGGTCATTTTGGTCATTTTGGTGGGGGTAGAATACTTGGTTAAATGATGGAATATGTGTGAAGGTAGGAAGAATTGTCTGGAAAGTGTTTGAGTGAGAGATAATGGTAACACAGGAAAATACATGTCGGCGCAGGTGTTTTATAGCAAGCGCATTGCCTGATCAGGGCATCGGCTGCTTTAACTCCGTGAGCTCTTCGAATCCATCCGGTTCTCTGGTAGATTCGGCGTATCTCTGTCATTCTCACACAATAGCCTCGGAATACCGTGGAATAGCTACATAATCGGCTTTGTATCCACTTCGGCTCCCGTTTGCGGTATACAGTACTCCGTCTACAGCGCATGGTTATTGTCCGAACATCTAGACCTTGACGACTTCGTAACTGTCCATCTCTATCGCCACCACATACCCAATAGGTGTCCGGTGAGATCGAAGCATCACTCCATGTCAGCTTGTATGCATCCATGAAACGGGAACCTGCCCATCGAATCCCATTTGGAGGAAAGACGAACCGCAATTGGATACAGATACACATATGGGAAGACCGACGATCACAACTATGACAGAACATGTCCAGACATTGTGCCATTCCAAGGTTGTGCTGTCCACGTCCATATGGGGAGTGGAGGACGTCATCTCGAACATCAGGCCATGCGGCACGCGGGGTATGGCCGGAGATTTAGAGATTTCAAGCTGTTCATGGCGAGGCTATAAATATCACTGAGATTTGAATCAGTATATATAAGTGTCTCGACCTTAATAGAAATATGGTTTATATTCATCCCAGTTTCCCTCTTCCGGGAAATGTCGATCTGAGATTGGTGGTTGACCTGAGGCTATACATATCCTTTGACTCTTTAGCTTGGCTATTATAAGGTTGGTTCTTAGTATATGCATTATATGCATATACAGATCTATTATAATCTATTATAGATCTATTGATGACATATGAAATACTTTATATCCAACGTGGTAGGTTTGAGTTATAACTTATAAGCTGGTAGCTCTGGAGATGTCTATGACCCAGACCTCTTATATACCGACGAATCCCTATTTAGTAATTCTCTGATGTATAACTAGTCATAGGCTAAACAAGATAACCAGATTGATCTTCAATCCAAGCTCTAAAACATAAAAACAAAGACCGACCGACTATAATCCCATTGAATCCAATAGAACTGGTCTCCACAGGGAGGTGGATAGGGCGATCTCACGATAAACTCGGATCAGCGAAACAGATTTCACGTCAAATGCGAGTGGAAGCGAGGACTCGCTAATTATCTGAACTCCTGCACTTAGGACTAGGGATATTCAACACTTGAACGCATTGGAACAAGACATTCCATGTTGATGATGTTCGTCCTCACCACCTCTGTGCTCCACGGGGTGTTTGTATGGACTCTGAGCGAGATCGGGGCACAACCTGGGAATTCTCGACCAGCTAGAAAAGAAAAACGATAGAGAAGAACACGAAACCATTGAAAATAGTCGTCTAAAACACAGAAATCACCGCTTTCCACTGTAAAAAGCCCGTTCGGATCTAACCCCCGGGATGCCGGAGTTGGTGAAATACCCCAGACGAGGAAGAGATTCACGAGAAATGCCAAATCTCGTCAACTTTTTCCCCTTTTACCCTTACGAGTCGTCGTCTTCCCCTCTTTCACCCGACTTCATCTTTCGTCCTCAGTTATTCCTCCATTCCCCCATTCACCCCATCTCTCCCTTCTCATCCTCAACCACCGCCCCTGCATCAGCTCGCCTAGGCCCGCGCATTCTCTTTCTTGGGCTCCACGGAAACTTCCCTTCTTCCTGCATCTTCCCACCACAAACGAATCCATCCCTCCATCAGGTATTTATGGCTCGCTTTCTTCCTCCATCTCTTCTCTTTCATCCCTCTTCACTCCGAAACAGATCCTACCTGAAACCAACAACTGACACCGCGTCACTAGAACGCCGGAACCCCCTTGACAGGTGTCTCTGAGCAGGGGTCTTGGACTCTTCTTCCTCAATTCCCGCCCCGACCCTATCTCGACCCGAGTGACCAACCTTTGACGCGCTCGACCCGTAACCGGGGACCGCGGCCATCATGACGGGCCCTCCGCCATACAACGCCCAGTCCCCGACTCAGCAGCAGCGGTATCCGGCTTACACCTCTCCGAATAAGAACCACCCGTATTACCCAAGCAATGAACCACCGCAACCGCCGCAGCAGTACCACCAGCATCCTCCGCAGACCCCACCCGCATTTGGTCCATCCTCCGTCGCGCGAAGCCCGCACTTTTCGCACGCGTCCCCAATGCCGTCTACATTGCCGCCGCCCTTGAACGGGAGTGCGCCACATCACCCGTCGCACCTGGAGTCTTCGCAATACCAGGGACATTCGGCACCGGGTTCTCAGCTCCCACTTCCGCGCCCTTATTCTAGCTCCGTGATGGCGGGCAACGGTGCTTCGCCGTATGGATCTGCGACACCACATGGACATCCGCCCAGCCACCCAGAAGGCCATTCGCAATCTCCCACCAGGGAGTCCGAATCCCCATATCGGATGCGAGGTAATGGTATCGGATATGGACCTCCGATGATGCGAGAGCCGAGACCGGCCTCACCGCAGGAAGCCGTACGCATTACCCGGACCCTTGCAATATCTGCTGGTTTACTAACTCATCCCTGCCTCGCAGAAACCCGCTCGAGCCGCAGACCCCATGTCGTTCGCCAGTATTCTTTCTGGCCCGTCGGACGATCAGCCTGCGAGAAAGCCATCGCCTCTCCCGGTCCCCATGATCTCCTCCCACACGCCGCATGCTCCCCCTGTCTTTATACACCGGCACCTGGAACACACTACACCTGTAGCTATTCATCACAAACACGAGCACCGATTAGACTTTGATAGACACATCGATGGCCCGAGACCACCACATGCGACCAATGGGTTCGTCAAGCCCGATGCGGAATACGCTGCACCCATTCCTCGTGCACCGCTCCGAAAACCATTCCCTCCCGGTGTGGATCTGGAGCAGGTCAATCGGGCTTCAGCCGAGATCGATCACGCCGAGAAGAGCGACGTTGAAGATCCTGGCTTCGACGCAGAACAAGAGCGGTATCGGGAGAAAGGCTACAAACGGTCGTTGGAAAGCAGCCGCGCAGAGGAAGTGCGACGAAAGGTAGGTCGTCTGAAAGTCGTTCCATGTCCAGTCAATCCCATACTAACATATGCTCAGCGTCGCCGCAACGAGTTCCTCATCGATCTAGGTAGATCCTTCGAAAGACAGGCCATTCTTGGCACCGAAAGATTCCGAGTGCTCAACGAGGGTGCTGTCATGGCTGAAGTTCAACAGAAGGAGATCCAGGATGAAAAAGAACGGAAGAAGGACATGCAGCGCAAGCGCCGTCGTGAAAACACTGTGCGCCAAGAGATGCAGAAGAAGCTGGAGGCTGAGCGCAAGGCAAGCAAGGCCCAGGAACCCGGAGAAAGGGCCAAGTTCCTGCGCGAAGCCGAGCGGGCACAGAAGAAAATCCGCACCACCAAGCGCGCTCTCGAAGGCGGCGATGGCCAGGATGAGCTCGGTGAAGTCACCCCGCTTGCTCCCAATCTCGAAGGCGGGACGACCAGTCAATTCCACATCGGCCGTTCCTCGCCCAGCCGACGCAGGTCGGGCCGCGCCGGTCCTGTCACTCGTCCCAAGAAGTCCAAGGAGCAGAAGCAGGCCGAGAAGGATCTTGCCGAGGCAGCTTGGAATGCTGGGTTGGACGACGAGTTGTATCTCACCCCAAGTGCGAGAAAGGATGTTCGACGCTCAAAGGAGGGTACTCCCATCTCGCAGCTACACTACGACAGTAAAGGCTATAACCAGATCTACGAGCAGATCTGGCGCGATATCGCACGCAAGGATATTCCAAAGGTCTACCGCATCAAAACCTCCTCCCTCTCCACCCGCCAGGAGAATTTGCGCAAGACGGCTCAGCTGGCCAGCAAGCAGTCTCGCAAGTGGCAGGAGCGCACGAACAAGAGCACCAAGGATACTCAAGCTCGTGCCAAGCGGACGATGCGTGAAATGATGTCTTTCTGGAAACGCAACGAGCGCGAGGAACGCGACTTGCGCCGTGTGGCTGAGAAGCAGGAGCTTGAATCAGCCAAGAAAGCGGAGGCCGACCGCGAAGCAAACCGACAGAAGCGCAAGCTCAATTTCCTTATCTCGCAAACAGAACTGTACTCACACTTTATCGGGCGCAAGATCAAGACCGACGAAGCTCAAGGGGACAGCGTTGTTACTGCCACCGGAGAGACCATCCAACCGGGCAAGCCAAATGCTCACACAATCAATCTTCCAGACAGTGTGGCCAACCCTAACGCCAAGACCACTGCATTCGAGGACCTTGACTTCGATGCTGAAGATGAAACCGTGCTTCAACAAGCTGCCATGGCTAATGCGCAAAACGCTGTGCAGGAAGCCCAGGACCGTGCCCGCGCCTTCAACAACCAAGGAGAGGGCGACAATATGGCTGCATTTGACGACGGCGAGATGAACTTCCAGAACCCGACTAGTCTGGGTGACATTGAGATCTCACAGCCGACCATGTTGAATGCTCAGCTCAAAGAGTACCAGCTTAAGGGTCTTAACTGGCTTGTCAACTTGTACGAGCAGGGTATCAACGGTATCCTGGCAGACGAGATGGGTCTCGGTAAAACCATCCAGTCGATTTCTGTTATGGCTTACTTGGCTGAGGTGCATAACATCTGGGGTCCTTTCCTGGTCATCGCGCCAGCATCCACACTACACAACTGGCAGCAGGAGATTACAAGGTTCGTCCCGAACATCAAGGTGCTTCCCTACTGGGGTAATGCCAAGGACCGCAAGATCCTGCGAAAGTTCTGGGATCGCAAGCACATCACGTATAACCGTGACTCGGAATTCCATGTCCTAGTCACCTCTTACCAGCTTGTCGTTCTTGACGCGCAGTACTTCCAGAAGGTGAAGTGGCAGTACATGATTCTTGATGAAGCTCAAGCTATCAAGTCCTCTTCGAGTTCGCGATGGAAGAATCTGCTTGGGTTCAGCTGCCGCAATCGTCTTCTGTTGACCGGTACGCCAATTCAAAATAACATGCAAGAACTGTGGGCCCTGCTTCACTTCATTATGCCAACTCTGTTCGACTCCCACGACGAGTTCAGCGAGTGGTTCTCTAAAGACATCGAGTCGCACGCCCAGAGTAACACCAAGCTCAATGAGGACCAACTCAAGCGTCTTCACATGATCTTGAAACCTTTCATGTTGCGTCGTGTCAAGAAGAATGTCCAGCAAGAACTCGGAGACAAGGTTGAGAAGGACATCTTCTGCGACTTGACATACCGCCAACGTGCCTTGTATTCCAATCTGCGGAACCGTGTCAGCATCATCGACCTCATTGAAAAGGCTGCCACAGGCGACGACACTGATAGTAGCACGCTGATGAACTTGGTTATGCAATTCCGCAAAGTCTGCAACCACCCCGATCTCTTCGAACGTGCCGAAACAAAATCTCCCTTCTCCGCTGCATCTTTCGCGGAAACTGCATCCTTCGTTCGTGAAGGAAACTTTGTCGATGTTCGCTATTCGACTCAAAATTTGATCGAATACCCGTTGCCACGCCTATTGTGCAGCTCTACAGGACGACTTGATCTTCCTGGTTCTGATAATCCCCGTGTGGGCTTCCAAACCAAGTACCTATCCCAGCTGATGAACGTCTGGACACCAGAAAACATCCAGAAGAGCGCACGTGACAATGGTGCATTCTCCTTCTTGCGTTTCATCGACACTTCTGCAGGGGAAGCAAGTGAGATGGCACGACTTGGCGTCTACGAACGAGCAGAGCGTCGTCGCAGCAAGCCAAACAGGCTTTCTGCCTTGAATGTCATCTATGATGAGAGTGACGATCCAAAGAACTCGGTCCTATCCCATTCGATGTTGAATATTGTTGATCGTAATGATCAACAGGCTGTGCGAGATGTCGCCATTGAGGGCCGAATGAAGGATCTCATGACTGTTTCACGCTCCTCATTCGAAGATCAAGGCCTTCAACTTATTGAGCCTTGTTCTAGTCCCAAAGCCTCGGCGCCTCCCATCACCATGTCCTCTTCCGGCCAACAGACAACACGGGAAACTTACCAAGCTTTGTTCAATCCCTCCGTTCGACAAGCACTGTCTGGACACTGCAGCAGGCAACTTGAGGAGCAGATCCTCATCAAGAAACTCGATCCTACACCTTACTCTCACGCTCCTATGCTGCCGCCACCGGTTTCACTCAAGGGCCGCTACAGCCACATCGAGGTACCATCGATGCGTCGTTTCGTGACGGATTCAGGCAAACTGGCCAAATTGGATCAGCTGCTGCGGGAGCTCAAGCCCGGTGGTCACCGCGTGCTCCTGTACTTCCAGATGACACGTATGATCGATCTTATGGAAGAGTACTTGACATACCGGAACTTCAAGTACTGCCGACTAGATGGAAGTACCAAGCTGGAAGACCGCCGCGACACAGTCGCAGACTTCCAGTCCAACCCGGATATCTTCGTCTTCTTGCTGTCAACCCGTGCCGGTGGTCTTGGTATCAACTTGACTGCAGCCGACACTGTCATCTTCTACGACTCCGATTGGAACCCTACCATCGATTCCCAGGCCATGGATCGCGCCCATCGTTTGGGCCAAACTCGCCAGGTCACTGTCTATCGTCTTATCACCCGCGGCACCATCGAAGAACGCATCCGCAAGCGTGCCTTGCAGAAAGAAGAGGTGCAACGTGTCGTCATTACTGGCGGTGCTTCTGGCGGTGTCGACTTCAACACCCGTGCTCGCGAGAACCGCACCAAGGACATTGCCCTGTGGCTCGCCGACGACGACGAGGCCGAACTCATCGAGCAAAAGGAGAAGGAAGCCATCGAACGCGGTGAGACCCTCGGCGCCAAGGGCGGAAAGAAGGCCGCTCAGAAACGCAAGCGGGATCTTACGCTGGATGACATGTATCATGAAGGTGAGAACACTCGACCACTCCTTGTTATGTTTTAACGTCCATACTAATCGATTACATAGGCGAGGGTAACTTTGACGACGCCAGC